AGATATATATGTGATAAAAATTTCATCTCTCTATGTCAACAAAAAGTATGAAAAACATGATGAACAAATTTGATAATGGAATAAAATAATTAATTTATCTTTGAAATCGATTGTATTAGGTTCAGAGATTACAAGAAAACGTGACCAAGCATCGTCTTTGAATGGTCGCATATCTATAAGACAATTAAATGATTTATTTTTAAATGTAAATTAAACCAAATTGGAAAAACTGGTGATTTTTTGATAAAACATTCGTCGTTTTTTACTATGTTAATTGAAACATCTTTCATGTTGTTCAATCCCAGCATAAGATGGAAATCATGATCAAATTTTATTTTATTTCTATTAGGGGATGTATAAGATGAGATGCACATAGGTGTGTTTCAAATCTTTATTTTGGAAGAAAAAAAAAAGAAAAACACAGAAAAGGAAAAGGAAGGACGCGAGATGGAAAAATGTACTCGACTCCTCTCTCTCTCATCTGATCGAACTACAGAAAAAAGGTGATAATATATATCGGATGGCCCATAAGTAAGGAAACGGAACAAAAAAATTGAATATCTCTATTAAGACTTGACCAAAGAAGCTCATTTTTATATCAAGGCTAGAGACCTATTCACACTCCAAATCCATACGGACAAGGTTAATGAGAACCTCTGTTAAGTATCATTAGTGACCTCAATAAAAAACTTCACCTTTTCACAAATAGGAAAAATTCATTGTATAGGGTACCTCAAAAGTCAGTTTCCTGAAAGGAAAACTGAATATCTCGATAACGGTTCGAGCGAACAAGTTGATATTTTGACTAAAGATAGAGGCATGTTCATACTCTAAATTCATCCGAACAAGGTTAGTGTGATTCTTTGTTAAGTATATTTCTTTCTTTTCTAATCTGTGAAAAAGTAAAATTTTTTGTTCAGGTTAATAGTGATACTTACAAAGGTTCTCATTAACCTTGTCCGTATAGATTTGGAGTGTGAATAGGTCTCTAGCCTTGATATAAAAATGAGCTTCTTTGGTCAAGTCGTAATAGAGGTATTCAATTTTTTTTGTTCCGTTTCCTTACTTATGGGCCACCCGGTATATATATGGAGGGGAGAGAGAGAAAACGTGGCGGACGAATGTATTACATGATATCACATAACAAAGAGATATACCTAACAACAAAGAGTGATACTAGTGATATCATGTAATTCAATAGAAAAGAAACGGCAAAGGAAAAAAGACCTGGAGGATAATGGAAGATGAGTCCATAACAATTTCATTTTTTAAATCTTCTAGTGATTTATCAAAATCATTACAATAGACGAATTGAGATTTATTTAATCGATGACGATGAATAAGTGAATAATGATGAGATTATTCCAAACCACATTCAATAAATTAATAAACAAAATCATGAAGATATTGTTTTCGTTGATGTCAATTAGACTTTGTCATGAATAAGATAACTTATTCATAACAATTCTATTCTCATTTGCAAATGAAATATTATCATTTTTTTCTTTTCATTAGTTTTTTCCTTTTATGCGTTTCATTTTTTCCTATAGTAAAACACCCAACTAATCTAAGTGATCAACATAAAATAAAAAGAAAAACAAACGAAAATAAGAGAAAGACGGATGAAACAAGTTGTAAAAAACAAAACAAGATTAAGGGACAGTTAAAATATGGAAATAAAACCATACACTCACTCATAGAAAAAACAAGATTAACTTACGTAAAAAAGAAACTAAATCAACAATATTGATATAGATAGATTATATATTAGCAGTTTCTTTTTGTTATCGATCAAGGATAAGATGATGATTGAAAAACATGAAGCATACTTCGTTGTGATGTTGGTTGAATAAATGCAGCTATAAAGGATAAATAATCTTTATTTTGTCTTCAATTAAAATTTTCAAATGTTTACCTGTTGGTTGATTTAGTGATTGACCATATTGTTGATCAGAAACTATTGGTTGCTGTTGTTCGTACATTGGTGAGTATGTATTAATTGGAGTAAGTTGTTGTTGATTTTGTAAACGACTATTTTGTTTCATCATAAATGATGATGAAAAAACTGTCTTCATTACTAGTACTTCACCACGTGAACGTATCTGATTAAATGTTTTTACTGTAAAAATGAATTACAAATAAAAAAAACGTTTACTTAAGTTTTATTTTGTTACCTTTGATCATTAGATGTTATATATGGATTATAATTTCGATAACGATAACCTTGTTGTCTACCAATACTTTGATCAACAAAACTAACTAATGGACGATTATATGTTAATTTAGGTTGTTGAGAATTATAACTTATTTGATATGATTCAGGTTGGTCTTCAGCTGAATGTACTGGCGATGTTTCTTTTCGATCACATATTTTAGCTTCTTGATTCCAATATAAACCAGCTGCACATGGTCGAACATAAAGTAAATCACCATTAGATCGTATATAAGCATAAGCGCTAAATGCAAATGGACAATATTGTTTGCAATCATGTGATGCAGTCATACATAGGTTTGGTACAGTATCTATTAATAACAAAAAAAAAATTATTATTTAATTTTAATCTAAAAATAAAATTCAATGAGCATACTTCGCCCACAAGTTGAGGCATATGATTATCGTCCATCACAGACCCAAACATAATCTTGTTTATAATCGCTTGTTTTACAAATTTAAAAAATGAAATTTGAGACTTAAGATTGTGTTCTATTTGAATAATTTAAATTGAAAAAAAACAAACGAAATTGAATTTAACAGTTTTTGAATTTCGAGTTCATGTCCGCATATGAGAAGACACCAGCTGAGAGAGAGAGAGAGAGTATCAAAAAGAAAATGGTTTATCCAGATAACGTTGACTTTAGGCCTCTGTAGTTTATTATTGCTTTCTCATTAGTCTGCTATGAGTTTCAAAAAAACACGAAAGATATCCTATTCTGCCTGATTTTGTCCATATATCTCACCATCAACAAATGACAGAAGCTTAAACTATTCTTTTTCAACGTACATCATAGAATTCTCTAATACTTTTCCACGAGAAGAATTCTGTGAATTATATTGATGAATTTTTTAAATGACAAAAATTGAAGATCTTCGCGATGTTATTATAACTTTCAGAAGTTTCAAGTGCAAAAATCAAACTTTGGTGACCTTCTAATTAGTGGCGAAGTCAGAAAAAAATTTGCAGGGGAGAACCAAGTCGGTTCGAAAAAAACACGAACCGATCTCATCTATGATTTGTACAAGAAGCTTAAAGGTTTCTGAAGGTGGCTGACTCACTACTTCTAATTCACCGGCCTATTACTCTATATGAGATCATGTCAAGAAATACAAGTCGTTTCTCGCCGGAAACATGGTAGACATACATATTGGAAGCAGGAATCTGCCGAAAATTCACGGATTCGGATACTGAAATTATTGATCTGGCAATGAAACATGCAAAAAAAAAAGATTTGAGATTTGCCTAATATTTTCCATAAGCATTCATGATTCTTGTACTGTTTCATTTGAACTTTGTTTTTTTAATGGAATTTTTCATTAACAGTCTTCTAGAGAATTTAATGTTATACGATTTATCAGTGTTGAGATATTTGTAAAATATTGGATATATTGCCATCATCATTTTGACTCAAGTAGTGTAATGACACGCAAGGTTTACAATGGAACTCTAAAATAAAATGTTTTTTTTTTACACTCTACTAACACGAGCAAAGTGTATATGTGCACTTTGTATTCGTCGACAAAGTGTACAAAAATGTATGTAGAACAAACTTTTCACAATCTAATAGAAAAAGGTATTCGTACTTTTTTCTTTAAAGTTAAATAAAATATAGTTCAATACTTAAATAACAAATGACTAATAAAAACATGTACAATTTCATAATCTGACACATTAACAAGAAAATGAAAGAGCAAAACGAACATGATTTCACCTAACAAACATAGACATTGTAGATAATATTTCAATTTCATTATCAACCGTAGAATGCACACCTCCTCCGACAAAATTTTATTTTTACTCCAAATTTCATTTAATTTCAATTGATTTTTCTTCATGAATCATAAATCTGAAGATAGAATTAGAACCAAAAATTATCTTTATTAGCATTGATAAAAACAAAAAGGAAGAATCGAATTAGTATTGATATTGAATTGAATCAGTTATATATGCAATACAATACAAATGCAATGCAAATATCGATTGAGAATGAGAAAAAAGATGAAAAGAAGGCATATCTAGTCAATGATAAAATCGGATGCAACATGTCATAATCTACTATTATATAAACTTAATCTTTAATTTAATATTATATAGAGTTGCTGAAATTAAATTTTAAATTTCTTCAGTAAAGTGTACAATGTTGTACACTCTATTTTTTTATGTAACGTGTAAAACAGAGTGTATTTTGCAAGTAGTAGATGTTCTATACATTTTGTTTCTGCTTGGTACACCTGCTATTGCAAATCTTGATGACACGTAGTTCATTATCGCCATCTATATTTCAATTTCAGAGAAGAATCAAATATCTAAGATTAAAATTACTTAATTTTGTTACTATACAATTCAAAAAAAATTATTGTATTTAAAAAGAAAATCAAAGCGCCATCTATATCGTCATTTGTCATAGTTTCCTCCATTAGTTAAATACTCCAATTAAATTATTTTGACTCTCTGCCATTTTGTTTATTTTCCGTTTTCATATCTTTGTTTCTAAGATCATTGACTGTCATCAGTCATTCAATCGGTTGTTTTACCCACTATTCTCATATAATATTTTCGTTCTTTTTCTTTTTTTTTGCATCGTTACTTCGAATGTCGAATGTCTAGTTCAGGGGGAAGTAACCCAAAAAAACCACGTATCGATTCAAATAGTTTACTTTCTGGTTTGTATTTTTTTTTGTTCATTCTTCTCGTTGAAGTTTTCAATAACAAAAAATTTTTTTTTTTCATCTAGCTATACCTACTCGAATGCCTTTAGCAAATGGTCCTAGTACATCAGGTACTCGTCCACTTGTTGCATTACTTGATGGACGTGATTGTACAATTGAAATGCCAATATTAAAAGATATGGCAACGGTTGCTTTTTGTGATGCTCAATCAACATCAGAAATTCATGAAAAAGTTTTAAATGAAGCAACAGCTGCATTAGTTTGGCATGCAATAACATTAAAAAAAGAAGATTTAGCAAAATTTAAAGCATTAAAATTAATTGTACGTATTGGTTCAGCATATGATAATATTGATATAAAAGCAGCTGGTGAACAAGGTATTGCTGTAGCAAATGTTCCATCACAATGTGTTGAAGAAATGGCTGATACAACATTAAGTATGATATTAAATTTATATCGTCGTACAGCATGGTTAGCACAAACAGTTAAAGATGGTAAACGTATATCAACACCCGAACAAATTCGTGAAGTTGCAACTGGTTGTGCAAGAATTCGTAATGAAACATTAGGTATTGTTGGTCTTGGTCAAGTTGGTATGGCTGTTGCTTTACGTGCAAAAGTATTTGGTTTTAATGTTATATTTTTTGATCCTTATCTTTCTGATGGTATTGAAAAAGTTTTAGGTATGAATATTTGAAAAAAAAAAAAAAGAAAAGAAGAATTATTTGATTTTTATTTTCCTTAATAGGAATTACTCGTATATTTACATTACAAGATTTACTTTATCGTTCGGATTGTGTTACACTTCATTGTTCACTTAATGAACATAATCATCATTTAATTAATGATTTTACTATAAAACAAATGAGACCTGGAGCATTTCTTGTTAATGTATCACGTGGTGGTCTTATTGATGAAACAGCATTAGCTGTAGCATTAAAAGATGGTCGAATTCGTGGTGCTGCACTTGATGTTCTTGAAAATGAACCATACAATTTAGCTGCTGGTGAGAATCTTCTTTTTTTTAGAAACTATATATGTGTTATATAGAATTATACCACTGATGAGAGACAGAAGTGTAGAGTTTAATTATTTTTGCGGGTACAGACATATAGTAAGTGATGCAATAATACTAAACTTCGAAAGAATCAATTCAATATTCAGAGAGATGCCATGTAACCAGAAGATCTGCCCTATGACCTTGTGAAAAATCTATGCAAAACAGTTTCAATGATAGGAATTATTACGTTTTTCCTACTTGTGGTGATGAGATAGTGTCCATCCATGGTTACGTCGTCCTCTCGATCTCTCCATGGGATAAAACATTTTGTATAGAAAATGATTTCTGTCATAGATCGTGTCAATAATGTCCTCCTCTAATCACAACAGCGCCCTCTTTTTTTCTTCTTCAACAATTCCTTAACAACGCTTTCTTATTAATCATTCATTTTTATTTGATTTCTTTTAGGTCCATTAAAAGATGCCATTAATTTATTATGTACACCACGAACATCATGGTATAGTGAAGCTAGTTCACAAGAACTTCGAGAAAATGCAGCACATGAAATACGTCGTGGTTTAACTGGAAAAATGCCTGGTTCACTTCGATATTGTGTTAATAGAGATTATCTTAATGTATCACGTAAGTAATTCAAAGACGACTCCAGAATTGGATATATTGAAATAGACTTTCTATATATTATTGTATATATTCTACGATGTACTGTTGTCATGTTAATAAGATGATGTCATCTATTGACATGACAACAATATGCAGTAGAATAGTCTATTTCAATATATTCAATTCTATAGGTAAAAGTTTCTATTCGTGTTGAAAAATTTATATTTTTAGGTTCAACTTATGATGGTGTTCTTAATGGAGTATCACCATTTTCATCATTATTTCCATTAGGTGCTCCATTTCTTTCTCAAACAGCAGCTAGTCAACTATTAGGCGATTCATCTATTCAACAAACACTAACTGGAACATCAAATAGCAGTACACCATCATTACTTTCATCTGCTGGTAATAATTCATCTGTAGTTGTACCACTAAATATTGGAGAATCAGCTCTACAATCAGCAGTTAAATCAGCTGCTATTTCACATGGAAATAATAATGGAGGAGATTCGGCTAGTGGAGATTAACATATATTGAAAATTATTATTTGTTTTTTTTTTGCTTGCTTCTCATTTGTTGTACATTTATTTCATTGTAGTTTGCTTATGTATGTGCGTCTGTAGTTTTTCATTTCACACGAATCCTATCTACATGTATGTTTTGTGTGGGATATATATATATATATATATATACATATATATATATATTTGTCATATGTTTCTTTAAATACTTATCTGTTTCGGCTTATAAAGTAATTTGTTTTCGTTGACTTGAATTAATAGTTCCTTTTCTTTTCTTTTCTTTATACACACAAATAAAACTTGTGTTCATAAACACTTATACATGAAAACAAAAATAAAAAGATATATCTATAAGATATTTGTTTTAAATATTAAAAAAATATTCTATGTTAGTTTTTGTAGAATAGAATTATATGTAATGTAATATGGAATAATAGACTTATGTACGAAGCATGTTACGATCAAGGTAGATAGTTATTGTATTTAAAAAAAGAAAGTGCTTATTTTCATTCATAGGTAGTATATGAAGCATTAATTAAACATAGATCGTTCATGATTCAAGACAATTATTTGTTGAATTTGGTTATTTCATATCAATAGTAACAATAATTGATTTTATTACATGCATATTTGAATTAGGCATATACGAAATTTGAATATTTGTATTCGATTGTGAGTTTAGTTAATTAAGAATAGAGAGTACAAGAAAGCATTTCAATTTCTACAAACAATAGAAAACGTTATTCAACAATTAGAGGATCACTGTTATATCTCAAGAAATACTTGAGCTATGAGTCCTTACTAGTTCTCGAACATCGAATTAGAGTTCACATTCAGTGTATGCCTAATTTGAAAAAGTAAAATAGATGAATGTTCTTTTGTTCTAAACTTATTTTGCAATAGTATCATCACCAAACACTTAGTATTCTGCATCAAAATCCATTTGTATTTATTCTTGTGTGTATGACTAAATAATTATACTTATGAATTCATACAAAAATTTTTTTTTCACACTCTCAATGCACGAGCTGAAAAATGCATATTATATAGATTTTTAAAAAATTCATTTATTTATGCACTAATAAATAAATATATATATATATTTAAGTATAAGAAAAGATTATTAAAAATAAAAAAGAATGTTTAGATTAATATAAAAAAACGAAGAAGAAAGAATGGTACATGGTAATAAAGAAACATGCCGACGTCATGTACAGCCATCGGTAGCAAAAGGTGAAATAGGTTTGTTCACAAAGAACAGAAATTTTTATTCATTAGTTTTTGTTTGATTTAATAAAAAAGAGGCGTACATTTTTTGAATGAATCTTAAACCAGCTGGTTATTGGGTGAGTAAATTTATGATGTGTGATTGTATTTGATAAACAATCAAAAATAAAATTAGATTTCATTTTTATAGGATAAACTTTATGTCATTGAATACAAATAATGTATTTTATTTTATATATTGTTGAAAAGCTTTTGTTGTACTGATGTTCTAAGTAATCTATATCAAATAAAAAATTATAAAACTACTTGTTCGGGTTGCTTGATGTGGTTATATTCTAGTTAAATACCAAACAATCAACCTAACATATCTATTCCATAATTAAAGTTAATATTTAATTAATAATTTATTTTTTAAAAATTTCAAAAATTTTGAGATCTATTGCACTTCGTTTATTCGAATTAGCAATGTTTTTCGGAATGAAATGCAGTTATCTAATTAATAGGAAATTTTTCAGTTTTTCAAGATAGTAGAAGTTTAGCGTTTTTTTTTTATTGGTGGAACATTTTGAATCTAAGGTAGGTTCAGCAATCGGCATAAGATCTCTACAGGAAAGTGGACTCTCGAAAGAAGAATTTTGCGGTCTACTTTACTGAAAAACAGAATAATGGTGAAGTAGCAGTGTTCTTAAAAAATAAAAGGAATTCCATTACGGGTTTGTTCACTTTGTTGGATTGAGCATGTAAGTTTATGAAAGAGCCTCTCCTGTTGTCAAATTGCTTTTCGACCGAAATCATGTTTATTTGATGAGTAATAGAAAACTCTAGAATGGTTTGGTTTTCCCGGGCCTGCATTCTTGAGATATCGACAATAAGTTGTGATCACGTGGAAACTCGACTTCAAACTTTTCATGAACAATGTTCTCAATGAAATTAGTTCATTGAATAAATTATAACTTTTCTAATATCTCCTATTATAAGATAGGGAATATTCGAAATTCTCTCATATCTAAAAGCAAATTTTGTTTCTAAATTTATATCCGCCGAAAGAAAATACTAGGTGCACAATCAACTAGTTTCATCAAGAACTTTGTCCATACAATGTTCCGTACAGTTCTTTTTCACTTCTAACAAAGGAGTGCTACTTCAAGTCATTGGTAATATAAGACCCAACATTTCCTCAAGAACGTTTTTTAAGTCTGCTTCACCGTTGATGGCGATGAAAAATTTTGACTTTTTACAAGAATTTGGATACACTGCACAAATCTATCAATCTAATGAAATGAGAAACAAACGTTTGAGCCTAGTCTCATGACTTTGATCGACTATGAGACGAAAGTATTTTTGATTTTGAGAGCTTAGACTAAAAATTTTTCTCTAGCAAAACTAACGAGGAAACCACGCCAAGTGATATTTTGCTCGTAGGCAGGACCTCGCGAGACTAGAAAAAGCCTAAAAGTATTAGCTCCCTAGCTCTTCCTTCTAGAGTTGTAGTCGATTTACTGGGTTTTCGGCCCATGACAAGGTACTTAGAAAAAAGTCGAATGACGAAATTTCAACTTGAAATTTTGCCTATATGTGAGTCCCATGGTCTTTAGTATGCGCTAAAAGTTTCAATGAAAACGGATCTTTCTTTCTTGAGATGATGAATATATAAGAAAAATTATTTTTTCTCAGTTCTCTGTGAAATGTGAATTCATTATCTCGAGAAAGAAAGATCCGTTTTCGTTGAAACTTTTAGTACATACTAAGGGCAATGGAACTCACATGTAGAGCAAAATTTCAGGTCGAAATTTCGTCATTCAATTTTTTTCTAAATACCTTGCCACGAGCCGGAAACTAGTAAATCGGATATAGCTTCGGAAGGAAGACCTATGGGAGCTTTTCTAGTCTCACCATGTTCTATCTACAGATAAAATATCACTTCAAAAGCTTTTAATCACTTGTTGGGCTTTCCTCGTAAGAGTATAGATTTCATACAAAGTTTTCTTTTTAAATATTAAAATTTTCTCCGTTGCATTTACTTGATTCAAGTTCAATGCAAAGAATAATAATTCTATCAATATTAATAGATAATTAAGCAACTAACTCGACATCTTAAAAGTTCACTTCTAATATACATATTAATCAAGAGAAAGAACTTTCTTTTATTTTGATAGTTAAAGAACTTTTTGTAGTAGAACGAATGGATGTTTTCACAATACTTGTTCTTGTGTAATTGAGGGAAATTATTGAATGAGTTAATTTCTTTTTAAATAAAATAATCTTAATAATACTAATATATCTTTTCTTGTGTTTTTTTGACATGAGAAATGAGATTCTTAAAATTAGTTGTTCAGCTTGCTTCTTCTTGTTTCTATGTGCAAAACATATGCTTTTATATGTTTGAAAATAAATCTATTTAAAATATGATTAAAATTAATTTTTCTTATACAGTTCAAACAACGTGGTTATACAGATTCATCATTTGATCGTCAATTAGCAACAACAACTGGTGAAATGTTAAATCAAATTGTTGATTCAAAACAACCATCTGTAACTTCATCAAATAATTTATTATCTACAACATCATCTGTTAATAATCGACGACATCCAGTTAATAGAATTAAATTTAAAAAAAAAATCTCTTAATCTACACAATTTTTTTCTGTTAAGAATATTTCTAATCGTATATCCGATCATGATAATCGAAATTTAATACAAAATTATGGTGAATATTTCGGTCGAGTAAATAAATAGAAAAAACATTCAGATATAATTCTTAATCGTTGTTTTTGTTTTTCCTATTCAGGGTTTTGGTAAACGTTTAGTATCACAAACACCAGTATATAATCATGATTGGATTTTTTTAAATGAACCACGTCCTGCTCATCCTGATCGAGGTTTAACACAACATGATTATCGTGGTTTACCTCCACTCGAAAATCCTCAATCATCATCAATCATAACAAAAAATTCTAAAAAATCAAATAAACATTGGATGACAAGTTGTTATGATGATTTTGGAGGAGATATTGAACGTGTACCAAGTGAATTGATTTATCGTCATGATTACAAACGAATGCCAATTTATCCATGGCATTATTAAATCAAAAAAAAAAACGACAAATATTTTTTTTACTTTTATTTTTGACTTTCTTATAAACATAAGCACATTAAAAAATTTTTGTCTGACACTATATAAATATTGAATAAATAGATTTTCTTCAAAATGTGATTTTCTATTGAAATATATTCTTAACTAATAAAAAAAAAATTTCCAAGTGTAATTCACTAATCGAACTAATATTTTGTTCATAAGTAAGTCTCGATGAGACTAATTGAAGTTTATAAGGATTCATCTTCATACGTTGTTCTTCTCAAGTTATAACAGTTCTACTGAATCTTATATCTCTGGCACGTTATTTATAATAAAACAACACATCCTTTTTGAGCTGAAATTTTCAGAACATTTCTAAGTTCAATGAGATCTACCTATGGACAAAATTTTAGGTTGAAATTTCGTAATTCAATTTTTCTACAACTATCATGTCAGAGACAAAAAAGTTCAGTAAAATTGTAATAATCTAAGAAGGACAACATATGAGAACAAACACTTATATGGTTTTACTAGTCTTGTTAGGGCCTACTAATGATGAGCAAAACCAATCGTTTTTGATTCTGGTTTCGCGTTGAGTAGTACATGTACTAGCGAAAAGTGCAATATCATTTTGCTAGCACAAGACATCGTAAATGATCTCTAATATTTTCCCTCTTGAATATTCATGACTTTTCTTCATCTATTCTATACGTTTATGATTTCGACAACTATATTGTTTACGAAAAATAATGAATTAATCTTACTATCAAAATTGTCACAGCAAATATTGCAGTGATTTTTATTCAATAATTTTCTCATAAACTTTTAGAATATACGAGTCGTGACAATATGACATATGATACAAGTTTGGCACGACCATAAAAGGATATTACTTCCAATGAAAAAGTGTTGGTTGTAGTTCCATAGGGACTCGGAATCATCTTGCTCATATCTATGACCCTCTTATAGATAAAATTTCATTTCGATCGGCAAATCATACTTACGGACGTTCCATCGTAAGATAAGATTTACTGACAAAATTGATATGTTTTTGTTTTTTATGTTTTCTTATTGGTTAGATTTCCGCATCAGCTCAATCGCTTCTTGTCTCTTCTATTTTTATCTATTCGCTTAGCTGATCTATGATTACTGATGAGCAAAAAAAGAAAAATCAATGGATGTAAAGGCAATGACGAAAATTCAACATTAGGAAAGAAAAAAAATGAGAAAAAAAATCATAGTTGAGAGCACAATTAACAGACAAAGAATTTTCTCTCTCTCTCTCTCTCTTCTTCTTGATGCGCTTCATTGCCAACAGCATCAACATCTCTAGTTCTATTTTTTTTTCTTGGTGTTGTATGTTGTCAATGAAGAATATATTGAGACAAAAGGCTTTCTCTCGATGCTTATCTAGCTCTATCAATTTAGCATTCCCCTTTCTATGATATTTCATCGACAAGAGTGAATGCATGTGCATGTAGGCTGAAGTCAACATAGACAATGGTTAGAAGTACAATAAAGTAATGCATGCTGAAGACTTCCGTTGCTGTTGTATGATCGAACATTGAAAGATGAATAAAAGAGATATACAAAACGCATGGGAACTCCAGTAACCATTCAAATCGCTGCTGCTAATTATAGTGAATAGTAAGTTTTTTTTATGATCAAATATCTATTTCATTCATATATAAAGATTATTTTTCATTTTGTACGACATAATATGAATATAAATGTGTAGGTAAGCGTGCATAAAAATATGTTTTCTTTTTTTTTAATGTATGTATATTCAATATAATTAAAAACCTATGTAATAGACATATGATTTTAAAGTATTCAATTATTATTATTTATTTATTAATAGAAAAATCTTAGAAAATTTTTGTTCCGGAATATCTTTTCTTTTTTTGTAAGATCTGTTTTATTGAGTTTCTCTAAAGAAGAAAAAATAAGTTGAAGTTTTTAAAATAACATAAATATAAATGTAGAGTGGAATCTACCCTATATATTGAAGAAGAAAATGAAGTTTCATAATATAAAAATATGCAATTTACTCAATTGAAAACTTGATTGGAGAAAATAGTTTTGGTAATGTGTTTTTTTTGCACTTTAAAAATTGATTAGTTTTTGACAACTCAATAGAAAATTAATATACATTGAGATAGGTTTTTTTTTTTCGTCATATTTTTCAAACAATTTTAAATACATTGTTCAATGTCTACTCATAAGATTATCCATGACAAACATTGATAATCATCATTTCTGTATGAATAAACAAAATCTAATATGTTCAATGCTCTAATATCTATTCATTAGAAATTGTAAAAAATAAAAAAAAGAATATTTTTCTATTTTCTAACTCTGATCAATAGATAAGATTTATCTACTGAAAATATCTGTTTTTTTTTTTTCTAATGTAATAAGCATAGCTAATAGAAAAACAAATAATCGTAATTAATTCTATTTTTATTCTTATAGTGATAATCAATCGAGTTATCGTCGTCCACTGAGTGAACGTCGTGATCATGAAAATGCATTCTTGTTTAATTATGACGGTTCAACCAATAGTCAATATACTAAATATGGTACTAGTCCACTACTGTAAGTTTCTTTTTTTTGTTTTGTTTCGTCAAACAATATATTTTTATTAATTAATTTAAAAAAAAAAGTTTAAAATGAATAAGTACTTGATTGAAAACAAAATAATTGTTATTATTTTTTAATAAGAATCCTATTTTCACCAGATTTATTCAATGATACGATCAAATCAATGTGTGTGTTTTTTCTTTTCTTCTTTTTTGTCATTTTTTTTCTCTATTCTTTTTCCTGCTATTATTATTAGCCTTGACTTTTATGCAAGCAATGTTCCCATTATTCCCCCTTTTTTTTTTTATCAACATAGTTCATCTATGTGTTGTAGACAGGAGCAAGTGAGGAAAAAAAAAAGAGAGAAGAATGAAAGAACTAATGTTCTTTTCTAGTAAGCTAACAATACTAGGTTGTTAGTTAGATGTAAAAATAATATGCGTAATTCTAATACCCTCAGCGTCGGTTCGTCGTCGCGCTCAATGAAATTTTCGACACGGCACGCATGTGGTTCTTGTTCATTCTGACTGCGTGCTGTGATGATAGTAATAGTAGCAGACGGATTGTGTAACTAAATGCGAGAAAGCACAGGAAAAAAGGAAAAGAAAAAAGAGAGAGAGAGAGAGAGTGTGTCTATGTGTGTAAGCGCGCATGTTCATCATCGAACGTCAATGTTTCTATTCTGCCTTTCTTTTTCTTTGACTATGCAATGAGGAAAGACGAAGCCCATGCAACCGACAACGAAGGAAAATGGAGTGTATGTTAGTGACTGTTGTCGTTTTGAGGAGCAAACAAGAGGCGCGAGACAAAGCGCTACTCGTTTATGTGCATGTTCATTTATGAGTATGGTATTTGAAATGATCAATAATCTTGACGAGTGATTGTCAACTACGTAAACAAGTACTTGACATCTTTTAACAAATAAAAGAAAAATCTTCTTTGAAAAAAAAAAACAAAAACTTATCAAAATGACGATGGCAACAGTATGGCAACATGTTTCATTAAATGATCATCCAATGTAAGTAATATATGATAGTCTATTTTTAATATAAAAAAGATCTGTTTATTATCTGGTTATGTCAATCAAAAACGATTAGATATTTTGCGTGTATACGTCGTATTTAGTTTTGTTCGTTTGTTCGCTACTTATCTGTCAGACGTTTATTCATTCAACCGTTTATCCATCTACGTATAACCGACTTCGTGTCTATTATTTTTCTTTTTTTCATTGCTTATATTGCACGATTTTATAACGTTCGATTGATGTTCGCATGTTGGGATTTTTCATATTATTGGATAGAAAAAAAAAAAAAATCTTAGAAAGAAAAAATAGAATTTATATATTAGTTAGACTGGATTTTTATAGCCATTTGTGTATTGTGCAGATGTTCATTACGTTATATGTGTAATATTGATTAACATGGCAATAGCAGCTGCAGTTGCATATTGTCAACCTACATTAAATGCTTCTCTTCTCGGAGATACATCGTAAGTGCATTTAACTAATGTTTAAAAATTGAATATAGTTTTTATTCAATTTAAAATAATGAATTAAATATATTAAAATTGCTTGTAAAAGAAAATTAATTATTCCTAGATTAATATATATATTTTTTTTCATAAGGACACATGTTTCCAAAACAATATCTAATAAATTTTATCACATATTTATCTTCATGAAAATTAGACATCAATTATCTTGCAAGATAAAAATCAACGGAAACTCATTGAAAAAACAGACCTTTATTTTCTATGTTTATACATAATACATAGATCAGTTATTTAGTTCTTTCTCTATATATATACTCAAGTTAGACAGACTCCCGACTTACTTCTTTTATCATAATGATACGTCATGTAGCGACCTAGGTCTCTTCGGAAAAAAAAGAAAAGAAAAGAAAACTAAGGGAAATATGATCAAATATGTCGTATGAAACTAAAACAACAGATAGATTATTTTTAACGACAGAAGAGTTAGACCGATAGTGATGGACAAATTATTATGCGAGTGTCTCTTAGGTGAATATTATTGTTTTCTGATGTCTTAACATCAATAGACAAGACAACCCAAATACAAGCTTAAGATTAGTTAACATCTCGTATTACACATCGTTTGCGACTTCCAACATCTTTTTTCTATTCTTTCTCTATGCTATTTTGCTTTTCTATTCTCGTTAATATTTGTTGTTGTTGTTCTTATGTATATGTCGACCCATTAACGAACGTCATCTTCATATACTCTTTTACGTATTTGCTTGCTTATTCTTCATATGCTCTTCCGGTGACTATTGATATCATCTTTCGCTTTTTAAGCACGAGTCGTATTAAAATACATCGAAGAATATTATTGAAATTAGAATAGTTTATATTTCGAATGATTCTTACGGATCGTTCTCTGTAAGTCTGAATTTTTCTTTTTGTCCTTATGGTTAATTATTTTAATTTCTAATCTTTTTAAAATAATAACCAGTCATGAAACAACACGTCGACGTGGTGTTGATTTTGTTAATGACCAATCGTCAACACTTGTCCGAACATCAGGTCGACGTACATCCTCTACTCATCACGGTCTTCCTCTATCTGATCCATTAACTAATTTAAGTGGATCTATAACGAATGATGCTGATCCAATACGAATATCTACTATAAATTGTCTTGTACCTGCTAGTGTAAATTTTGCTACAAGGTGAGACTATTTGTATTTGTTAGAAAAACAAGAAGAATATATATGTTCGCTAGTTAACACTTGTAATAGCTTGCTATTATTATATAGAGAAAAAGAAAAAAGAAACAATAATAGTTCTTATTGCTATCAATTGACATAGTGAAGTTAATTATTTTTCCTTTATTTTCGAAGATAATAATAAATATCAATGTATATTATTATTAAATTAGATAATGAATTAAATTTTAGAAAATAAAATTCTTTAGATTTTTAATATTGATGTTAATTATCAAAAATAGAAATTGATAAATTGATAATATGATCAAGTCGGTATTTCTTTTTTAGATTTTACACACGCATGCGTACGGGGAAATCTTCTTGACTGAATTGAATAAATTCCCAATGGGATATATACGACATCTAATGTTAAAAAATTCAATTCATATACGATAATTTTCTTATTTGAAATATATAAAAGAAGATTTATTTTATGTTTTTTATCTAGAATTCTTTATTTTTTTTATCTCTTACTAAGCTATTATTTCGTTATATATAGGATTGAATAAAAAAAAAAAAACAACAGAAACTATTCACTATAGATACAGATTGAAAATTCTTTAAGTATTTGATTTTAAAAAAATCTATTCGTAGAATCAAAAAACAAAAGAAAATATTTCATTATTGGAAAGATTACCTTGAACATTAAATAGGAATATTCGTATAAAACTTAGATTTGTTAAGAACTTTAAGTAAACTTTAGTCTTGTCTAGTTGTTCGTTAGAATTTGTCAGACGGATTTAAATAGAAAAGTTCGAATTTTGATAAGTAACTTTAGAGAAAAATAAAATAAAATAAAATTTTTCAATCAAACATTTAAACTTTCTTTCTTTTTCTCAATTCATATATGATATTATATGGATAACTATTAGAAATAAAATTAAACAAAGTCTTAGAATTCTTGAGAGCCAAATAAAAGAAAGAAACATCTCTTATTTTTGTTTATAGTGTTTATATCTGCCTATTGCAAATTCTAGTCATTTAAGAAGATTTTCTTTTTTTGTCTACGTAGTATCGTCTTCGTTGACAGTCAAATTAGAAAAATAAAAACATTTCTTTTTTTTTTTGCTGACATTAAATACGAAAAGCTATTAGTAAATGACATACATCTGCACGCTTGAGTCTAGATAATCATCACGTTATGATGAAATTTTTCATCTATAAGTTTATTGTAGAAAAAGAAAAATATGAGTACATATTTTTTTTTCTTCTCTGAATAAATATAAATTCTGTCAGAAAATTAAATTTAAAAAAATTTTTAGATAAATAAAATGAGATTGATAGTTAAATATTGAATATAATTAATTAGTTGCAAAAGATTCTTTGGAAATTTCTTTTCTGCAATCTTAAATAAATATCAAATTATTTCTTCTGACATTGAAATAATGCACATGTCTATTTCATCATTACGAACATATCATGGTTTTTTTTTTTTGTCGATCTAATTTAATTATTATGTCAGATATTTATAAGATTTTCACCTTGAAGCAAGTTATTGACAAACATTATTATCATTGTTATCTGTGTAAATTTTTCATAACTTTCCCTTGATCTGTTAGAGGAAACTAGAAAACGAGGTTTTTTGTACAAATGTTTGCATCTGACATATTGATTTATGATAAACTGAAATTATTACAAATATAGTAGATATCATTCATGTCTTTGATTTATAACATTTTATATTAAAGTATTTTCATAAATAAATCTTGTTTTTAAAGCAAAAATTTTCATATCAATGAAAGCAAGGTATAATATAGAATATTTCATAATAATCGATAGAAATCTTTAGATTTCCTTTTTTTTTTTTTTTTGATATTTCTTGAGATAAATATACATATGGTAGAATTCAAAATTAGTTACCAAGAAAGGAAAACAAAACAAAACAAAACCTTGCAATTGAATCTTTCTTCGCTATACAGATGCGTATTTCTATGTCCTTGTTTAACTAACAATCGTTGTCATCATTTGTCCCCTCTATGTCTTATCGGTAGGATTTGTAGATATGGAAATAATTGGAAAAGAGAGATAGATAGAAAAAGAAAAGACAAGAGATATTCTAGATTTTTTATCATGACATATCTCCGTTTTTTTTTTTCACTGCTTCAACTCTCAATCCTACTGTTACTCTAATTATTGTTTTCTTGTTGACGAAATGCATGGTAGAAGACTCAAGCTCATGGATGATCAAGAACAAATTGAGATAAGAAATGTGAAGCTAATAGCTTGATTAACCTTTTCTTTAGTCTATCTTTTCGTTTCTCGTCATCAACATCAATAGAAAAGAAACTGAGTGACATACGACGTTGATAGTTGTCTATTGCTGTTCTTCTTTTTTTCTTGCGAGCATAGTTCTATGCATGCAACAACCAAGACAGTGGTTGTGTTGGTATTGCTCTGGGGAGCAAAATCATCACACGTGTTGTTCGATAGTTTTATTTGTCAATAGTAGTTATCTCAAACAACAACTGCTCATGCTGTGAGTAATCAATTTCAATTAGTTATGATTTGTAACAACAAAAAAAAAAAAAAATAAACAAATCAAAGCAATGAAAATAAAATAACAATTTAATGTATACTTTTTTTTTATTTATTTATTTAGGGCATTTTCTCGTCCATTAGATGAAGAATTAACTATTGAAGAACAAATTGAAGCATCAAAACATCCTGATTTTGAATCATCTGAACGTGTTGTTATAAATGTATCTGGTTTAAAATTTGAAACACAATTACAAACATTAAATAATTTTCCTCGTACATTACTTGGTAATCCATCTCGACGTGTACGATTTTTTGATCCATTACGTAATGAATATTTTTTTGATCGAAATCGACCAAGTTTTGATGCTATACTTTATTATTATCAATCAAATGGTCGACTTCGACGACCAAATCATGTCCCAATAGGTAAGAAATAAAGAAAAATAAAACAATAGAAAAATATATCTTTATTATATTTCATTATTTTTCATTTAAGATGTATTTACAGAAGAAATCAAATTTTTCGAATTAGGTGAAGATGCATTTAATAAATTTCGTGAAGATGAAGGTTTTATTAAAGAAGAAGAACGTATTTTACCTAAACCAGATGTTCAACGTAAAGTTTGGCTTTTATTTGAATATCCTGAAACTTCTCAATGGGCACGTGTTATTGCTATTATATCAGTTACTGTTATTCTTATGTCAATTGTCATATTTTGTCTTGGTAAGCGACATAAATTATATACTCATTATTATACTCAAAATGATTACATCTATACTATCATCAAAAAAAAAAGAAATAATAAATAAGATCATTATGAAAGACTTCAATCATATCAATGATATATGACATTGTCTATAAATCAATTTGACATTTTCGAGTTGATTATCAGATATTAATCTGGTTTCAATCTAAACTTCCTAGTAACTCTGAATTCGATTCTATAGTAAAATATACTTAAGCCTAAAGCTCTGCTGTTTCTCTTCCGAGTTTTTCTTCAATCAGTTATCGCACTTCATACAATGTTAGCCTTCCTGCCCCCGCATATTTTTTCTCTGACAGAAAAACATGGATAAAGTACTGAATATAAATAGTCGATAGCTTATATTATTGTTAGAAATCAAATTTTTGTAATCAACTTGTTAATATTTAGAAACTCTTCCTAAATTTAAACGTTATCGTGTACGACCAGCTGACAATACATCTTATGATTCATCTCGTTTAACTATTGAAGAAGATGATATACCAGAATTGACAGAACCATTTTTTATTATTGAAACATGTTGTATTGTATGGTTTTCATTTGAACTTCTTGTTCGTCTTTTTTCATCACCTATGAAACTTGTCTTTCTTAAATCAATGATGAATATTATTGATATTGTTGCTATTGTACCTTATTTTATAACATTATTTACAATATTAGCTGAAGAAAAAACTAAATCAAATCAAGCTATGTCATTAGCTATATTACGAGTTATACGTCTTGTACGTGTTTTTCGTATATTTAAATTATCAAGACATTCAAAAGGTTTACAAATATTAGGACAAACATTACGTGCAAGTATGCAAGAATTAGCTTTATTAATATTTTTTCTATTTATTGGTGTTATATTATTTTCATCGGCGGTTTATTTTGCTGAACAAAGTGAACCAGAATCATTTTTTAAATCTATACCGGATGCATTTTGGTGGGCTATGATAACAATGACAACTGTAAGATTATCAAAATGAGGGAAAAAAAAAAAACTAAACATTGATTTTTTTTTCTTTAGGTCGGTTATGGAGATATGCGTCCAGTTGGTATATTTGGTAAAATTGTTGGTTCAATGTGTGCTATTGCCGGTGTACTTACGATTGCTTTACCTGTGCCTGTTATTGTATCAAATTTTAATTATTTTTATCATCGAGATATTGATTCTGAAGAACAAAAAGATATAAAATATTCTATGGGAGGAAATTCTACTTCACCAACTGGTGATATTACTGTTGATCATTATGCTTTAACAGTATCACCAAAAGATAGTAACAATGATATAAATAAAAATAAATATTATTCATCATCTGATGCATATCATCATTTTGATGAATCTGATGCATTTATTCAGTCATATTCTATGGCTGATGATACAACACATCGTTCATCGGCTACAAATCATAAAATACAAAGAACATCACCAACACAACAATTAATACAAAGAAAAATTGCATCTACAAATAATAATAATTTACATCCATCGAATGAACCACTTAATGTTGAAACTGATGTATAGTTGAATCTCATTGACCCATATCCGTCCACCCGGTCGTTTTTTGTCTAGTCATCCCTTATTACTTCTTTATTGATCTTATATATATATCTATACACATACTCTATTGTGTGTGTGCGCTTAATATCCGGATAAAAAATTGTAAAAGAAAATATATTAATTGATGTGTTCAGATAGAGAAAATAATTATGAATATCAATTCTAATAATAATTAATTTAAATAATAGAAAAAAGAAAAGAAAATCTTTCTGTTTGTTTTTTTTTGTTTGTATTTAAAACGAAGCCTTAATTGATAGGAGAAAAAAAAATTGTTTTGCCCAGTGTTTTTCTTTTTTTGTAATTTCTTTTTTTCTTCTGTGTGTATTTAAGAGATCTTTATGATTATTATTATTTTCTCATGTATATTTATGAACGTAATCTATGCGTTTGTTCTTCGATAAAATTAAAATAACAAAATTATACATATAAATATATATATATATTCTTTATTTGATATTTATCTACTCCGTCCTTGAATTAAAGCCGCCTCCTCCTTCCCCCCTTCCAAGAATAGAAGGCCATTCACAAAAAAAAAGCTGTTAGCACAAACCCTATGGGATTAAAATATGAAACACAATGTAGTTGCTGGTGTGTATCACAGAAAATTGCTTTATTCTATTTATTTTGAAAGACATTTTCATTACCATTCTTTCACTTAATCCACCAGAAATGCGAAAAGAAAGTGGTCTATATATTAGAACAAGATGTTATTAATGCACAAGACGTGGTAGTATATTTACGTCTATCAAGGTCTGTGAGAGGGAAGGAGTCCAAATTTTTACCACTATTATCCAACATTCCTTTTAGATCGTGTTTCACAAAGTGCAATGGAAGGTTATGAGTTTTTCGAAATCTCTTTTCAGAAATTCAACGAATCTTAGGAGGATTTTAGCATCTAAAAATCTGTTACTGATAAGGTTCATCTGAATATCAGAGACATTTTCAAAAACATTTGATTTTATAGGTAAATGTTGGCAAAAAACTATCTCGCAATAGAAAGTTATGGCTTTTTATTTTAAGGAAGTTACTTTATATTTTACTATACTGATTAGATACAGTTTCGAATAATCTGAAAATTTTCGTGAAGTAATGAATAACACAGTAGGAAATTTTAGATTTTATATACGCTAACGGTATACGATATTCGTTGATTATAAGTAAGCAGTCATCAATGGTTTAAAAAGAATTCAGATGAGAATAATTTCAAAACATTGCAACTCGATTGATGATGTATTTTTGAAGCAATAAATGATGTTTTTGTTTTTCGTCGTAGTGGAATATGTAAAACTATCGTTTATTCATAATTAGAATAAATAATTTTTTATAAGAAAAACAATCAAAACATAGACAGTATAAATTATAAAAATAATTTTACTTCGAAAGTATTGCTACTTTTGTTTTAATCATATTCAACTAAGGTGCATTCAAATCTTAAATAATAAAGATATGTTCAGATTATAACATGAAATGATGAAATACTTTATCATACATAGTAACTGTAAGAAACATTTAATTTCTATCACAAGAACTATTCGATCCTAAAAATGCATCAATTTTCATCTCTTTTACAATACAAGTTGATATTAACTCAAGCTCTGTTATTTCACAAGAGTTGTTTCTCAGAGAGATGCTTCCATGATATCGAGAGATCGACGATGATGATAAGGACGACATCTACATTTAATTTCAGCATATTAAAAATTATTTTTTGAAGAATTTTTGATAGAAACATGATAGAAAAAATTCTTAGCTTTCAATCTATACAAGACCGATATTTTTAGGTTGTTCTGTTCGATAGTTATAAGACTTTTCCTGAGACCGTCGATTTCATCCAATTGATCTATGATCAATCAGAAAAGCAACTAGACAGGATTAATTCACCATGCTGAGTTAAATAGTGCTATTTGTTTTTAGATTCAAACTGATTTGACACTGTTATCTTAATATTTCTGAAATTTCATAATCAGCCTCTAAGTAGCGAAGGAGTCGGCATTGCGGAAATATTAAGGTAATAGAATCAGATTAGTTCGAATCTAAAATTGAATAGCATCATTCGACTCAGCATGGTGAATTACTTGTGTCTAATTGCTTTTCTCGATGATCGCAGATTGATGGGCTGAAATCAGGGAATCTCAGGAAAAGTCTTATAACTCTTGAAGGAAACCAATCAGGAGTGTCAGTCTTGTGTAGATCGAAAGAAAAAGATTTTTTCTATCGATTATTCTTATTAAAATTCTCAATCAAAAGGTATATAGCTTCAAAATATCGTCTTTGAAAATTCCTACCACGAACTCACCTGATTGGTCAATTTCTGACCAATCAAATTTAGATAGCATCGGGTATTCATTCTCTCTGAAATGGCGAAAATCGTAGGTCTCGACAATTGCAGAAGTGAGAGCCAAATATATGAATCAAAGTCAATAGGATCATTTCATACAGAAGTTATGAGTCAATCGAATGAAAGTTCCAATGTTTTATAACACTTCAAACAATGATTTTTCTCTTTCTTTCAGCTGGATTGAAAAAGAACAAAATAAAGGCTTATCAACGATTTAAGAAAACTGGAGACTATGTTTAAAAAATGATGGATCTAAATCAATTGGAATCATGAATCGAATGAATTTTGTTGAGCTGAATTGATAGAAAATTTCAGAATCTAGGATACTGAATTCATGGAATGATTTTTCTACAGATTGAAGAGCTAATTAAATCGAGAAATATTCGTAAGATCTGAATTCATTTGAGAAAAATTTCAGAATTTATGAGGTAAATTTGAATCGAGATGACATTTTTTTTCTCAATGATTTCAAAATGAATTGGTCGTTTTTTCTGTTTGTATTGTCCAACTTTCGGTTCTAATGTTCATACTGAAAAACCAAGAACTTATGGAACGCGCACACATTTTCATAGCAGTTATCTGCCTAGGAACTTAATCAGTTTAGTTAAGAATTTCGTATGAACCCAAAACAAAAAAATCCACATATATGTGGGCTTCCTTTTTCTCAAAACTTAAATTGGCTACTTCGAGTCATTAGGCGATACTTAAGGGATTTTTTCCCAAGTGGTATCTAGCTATTTCGATTCAACTAACATGAATTTCAATTTGGGAAAACATAAACACACAAAATAATTCTTGAGTTTTGCCTAAGGACATTTATTAAAAATTCTTTTCATATTAAAGCAAAAGAGGGTGGACTATACACTATGAACTGGAGTTTGGTTCACTTCTAACGACCAGTCTTGATGGTATTTCTATTACGAGTTAGTCAAAAACCTGTAAAGCACATTATTTTTTGATATAGATAGTTAATGTTCTGAGAGAGTACTACAGAAGATAAAATATTTTGAAATCAAGTTTTATCAGTGCATATATCTAGAAAAAAACAAGACATTGGCAAATTTATTCTCAAATATTTATACCTGAACTAAACACAATCGTACTGTACCATTCTAAACCTTGCGAAGAATTTATCTCATGCTAACTTTCACTTTACTATCAAAGCAAAATGTTTAACAAGGCAATAATACTGTTCATGATATAGTGTAAAAATACTCTTAAAGGAATGGTATTAAATTGGCCGAAAGAAGAAATAGTGAACGAAAGAATAGCGAAAAAAGTAATGTCGAGAAAAAAAATTACGAAAAGAAAATAGCGAAACAGTCTATAGCAAAAAATCCCTTGCAATCATATGGATTTGTCGAAAAAGGTATAATTCAACATTTTCAACCAGTGGAATGAAGATATTTTATTGTATACAGAAAAATAATCCATGTTTAAGTAGATCGACAAAAATAATAATAGATCAAAAATATTCAGGCACAAAACCAACAGCAGAACTATATGATTCTTTATGTGGATATCAGTTCTCGCTTCATCTCTAATCTCGAATTCCACATCTTACCGCTTGATAGAGTCACTTAATAGCATCCAGAACATTTTCGACATTTTTTCTTTCGCCTTTTTTTCGCTATTCTTTTGTTTACTACTTTTTCTTTCGATCGTTTTGATACCTGCCGACTGCCTGTGTCGATAGTAATTTTCTTTTTAATTATTCTACGACTAAGCGACGAGAAAGAAAACAAAGGCATACTCTTCATTCAATCACTTGTTTCTCATCAATGTCGACCATGCGTTTATTATTAGTAATCATTTTTCTTGTCAATTTTTCTGATTCAATTGATGATTTAATTTTTCAAATTCAACCTCAATCCGTACTTATTAATAATCTAGATGAAATATATATAACAAATGATAATCATTTTATTGGACAAGCTTTATATCGATATGATAAAATACAATTAGCATGTGAATGTCAAACACAACTTAATCATACACAATATAATATATATTGGACAATTAATAATAAAACTTACGATCAATATAATAATTCAAATAGTATTGAATTATTAATTAATTTAAATACTGTACAAGCACCAATAACATCTGTAATATGTCATTGTATATTTATTCAATCAAATATAACAAAAATAAAAAAAGATTATCAATATCAACTTTATATTGGTGAATAATTCTTTTTGTCTTTTTTTTTAGAAAAAAAATTTTTTTTTGTGTTATTTGAAAATTTTAGATTTAGTAAGTGAACCATCATTAAAACCAATTAATTATTCTCTAGAATCGAGTATAATTAAAGAACGTTTTTATAATTTTATTCATCGTCGTTATGTAGTCATTCTTAGTTTTATTCTTATTATTATTGGAATATCATGTCCACTTATGATATTAAATTCTGGATCTTTTCTTTGAATATCATATATAAGAATAAATTATTGTATGATATTATGATTATTCATGTTAATAATGAAATAAAATTTTTCTTATATACATGAATGATGAATTATTCTCTATGAATATTATTATTCAGTTTTAAATTGATGTATGTTTGTCTTTGCTAAATAGAATTTTATTTTGAAATAGACTAAAATTAAGATTGGTACAATTTTCTAAGTTGAAAACAAAATTAAAATCAAATCGTTATTTATCGGATGAGTTAGATTTAAATTACTGATTATTTTTGATAAAAATTTTGTATTAAACTTTAGATGAAATCAAATTTCTATCGTAACGGCATAGAATAAAATCATTGAATGATTGTTGATTATGTTGCATTGGAATACTAATCTTTCATTTTAATCCTTTCGAGTCAATGGGTCCCACCGGTAGGACCTGCCATATTTTAACAAGAAAATGACTAAAAATACACTTTCTTTTCCTTTTTCCTTAGGCAGAAGGCTATGTCTAATGTATCATCTGCTTTCTCTGCTATTGTTTAAATTATTTATTACATAGCATGATGTTTCTCGTTGAAACAATCAAGACAATAAAATTTGTCACAATCAGAACAGAAGGTTTTTATTTTCTTTGCTGTCGCATTACTTGATTCTCTTGATTGTTCTTGTCTAATTTTCTCGTAGCAATCAGCACAGCATCTTTGGACATCGTGGTCCGACCCTTCCTTTTCTTCGAGCTTGTGATCAGTGAGTTTACACTTCCTTTGGCTTGTTGATCGTTGTTTCGGATCAGGTTTCAGCTTTCCAAATGGTGTATCAAGCAGTAAAGATCGAAAAAGATTTTCACAAAACTATAGCATGATCATATGACTTCTGCCATAATTTTCTTTGTAAATCAAATAGACATTAACGCTATATTGACTGCTATGAGAAAATCAGACAATAACAATCAAAAGAAGCAAGTAATGCAGCAGCAAAGAAAATAAAAACTTTCTGTTCTGATTGTGACAAATTTTATTGTCTTGATTATTTCAACGAGAAACATCATGCTATGTAATAAATAATTTAAACAATAGCAGAGAAAGCAGATGATATATTACACATAACCTTCTGCCGAAGGAAAAAGGAAAAGAAAGTGTTTTTCTAGTCAATTTCTTGTTAAATTATGGCAGATCCCACCAGTGAGAACCATCAACTCGAAAGGGTTAATATATATATTGTTGTTATTTGTCGTTGAATGGAAATAGAAAATGGTTTTGCAATTTTTTTGGGATACAAAAAACAATCAAAACTTTGAATGTTCATATCAGTTTTAACATTTGAGATAAAAAACAAAGTTCAAACTTTCCCCATTTGCATAAGATTGACTTTTCAGTTCATATCGTAAAGACAATTTTTAAAAAGTTTCAGAAACGATCAACTTATGATATTTATAACTTCTGATCAAAACAAATTGTGGCGCAAATAAAATTTGAACAGTCGACGGCGTCGACAGCAAATAGTCGATCTCTGTCTAGTGGAAACGCTTGCGACTTTGATCGGTGGGAGAAGAGCTCAATACCTTCGCCCTCGATTACACCATTAGACACAACCAGGGCTCGACGAATTCAAGTCATCGATTCAAAAAAAGCAAAAGTTGATAATTCAACTTCAAAATTGGTTTCAAAAGAAATTGATGGTTTTCTGAAGGATATCAGTACCAGTTGTACGTGTATTTTCTTAAAGCCGTCTTTTAATGAGATCACAACGTTCTAATTTTTCACAAGTTAATATTTGACATGCAATAAGACATAAATTTTAATTTCAATAAATATTTTTCTTATTGTCTTGTGAATCTATATGAAAGATAAGAGTGCATTTTACTGTCTTACTTTTTTGATAAGTTTATAATAGTTGTGTCATTTTATTTTTGTGCAAGACTATTTTTATTTTGTTTTCGTGCATAAAAACTAGGAACTAGATTATGTGTCATGAAAAACTTGTTGTTGACGTTCTATAAAAAAATAAACTCTTGACTCGTTCAGCCCTGACACAAACTAGAAAATTAAACTTATACAGATTAAAATAACTCGAAAATTACGACTAGTATGAAATTTAAAAATTCAGTTTATTCTATTTTTTTTAAAATAGATATTAGTTTCTTATCAATCCGATCATGAATGAGTTTTTTCATATGATAAGTTGCAACCGCTGAGATGATTCATATCTAAGAAGACTACAAATTCGAATTGAACAGATGTCACTGTGAATTCGAATCAATAAAATCTATATAATCATGAATATTTCTTTTTAAAGTAAAATTTTAAATAAAAATTTCTACAAAAAAAACAATCTTCTCATTATAAAACTTCTTTTATTCCATATGTAAAAATATTCTACTTAAATTTGATTGGTTATTTAAAAACTCTAATTTCTTCATTGATTCTCGTCTTGTTTATTTTGTCATATATTCGATAATTTAAAAGAACAACAACTACTAAATTAATCTTCTTTAAATTTTTAGATCTTTGTCAATTCCACGAGAATAAAATATTCATATTGAACATCTCTCAACATGGCTACAAAAGATCCAACTAGCGGTAAAATACCGGCTCAAGCTGGTGCTGGTGAACAGCAAGAATATAAAATTCGTATAACATTAACATCACGAAATGTTAAATCACTTGAAAAAGTTTGTGCTGATTTAATACAAAAGGCTAAAGATGAAGAAATTCGTGTTAAAGGACCAGTTCGTATGCCAACTAAAGTTTTACGTATAACAACACGTAAAACACCATGTGGTGAAGGTTCAAAAACATGGGATCGTTTTCAAATGCGTATACATAAACGTGTTGTTGATTTACATTCAAAATCGGAAATTGTTAAACAAATTACATCAATTAGTATCGAACCTGGTGTAGATGTTGAAGTAACAGTTGCCGATACATAAAAACATACATGCAAATGAAGAAAAAAAAAAAACAATAACAAACAATTTATTTCAACAATGAAGAAATGACATTAGGATTATAACATCAAAATATATTATTTTGTCTTTTCTTCTTTTTTCGATTGTTGATTTTGTTTTTGTTCATATCAAATAAAAATACACATACAAAAAAAAAAAAACATCAACAGTAACAAGATAATTCAAAATGACACGATATTTTTTTTTCTTTTTTATAAAAAAAAAAAATCTTGTCAATCATTCTAGACATATTTAAAAAAAAACATAAAAGAATAAAGAAAAAAAAAATATGAAGCATTTATTATCAATTTTAAAACGAACTCCATTAGGTCGACTACAATATTATCGTTCTTTATCATCTTCAGTAAATAATTATAATCAATTACCAACTACATGTGACCCACAATCAGATATTTATAAGGTATTCTATTGTGAAAAAAAAATATATATATTGAATCTTATTAACTCTTTGGCTGTGAAATTTTTAAAAGAAATTTAAAAATTCTCCTTTACTGTATACTTCAAAGATGGGAAAATTTGTCCCGTGCTGCTGCTCACACGCTTATGCTACATTGGTTAGAGCTTTGGAGAGTGCGTGCTTACAGCATCCTGGTGTTCGGAGAACTTTGAGAAACTGGTTGGTAGAGGAAAAAGAGACAGAGATATGCGAGGTGCTGAGTAATTTTTTTGCATCTCTGGTATACTCGATCATAAATTAATCTTTATTTTTAATTTATGAAAATTTATTATAAATAAACATGTTTAAAAGTTTTTCAAAGTATAGTGTAATTCAAAATAAAATACAATACACAAACCAATATTACATTGAACATACTCATATTTTGTCTTAGTTCTTTTTTATTTTGGACCTATTGTTATATTACTAGAGGCATGACATCTTCGCTTCTTTATTTCTTCAGATGTGCCTTCAGCTGTATAATCTTAAATGACTGATAAGAAGTGTCGTGCAGTGAACCTCCATGGATTTTCTAAAGATGGTCTTCCTTTTTCTTTTGACTTCTAATAGAGAAAATTTTCCCGTAGGAGTCAATATTATACGCTATTGATTATCAGAATAAAAGAATTTATAAATCACGTTATACCCAAAAAACAAATGTTTTCACGAAAATTGATATTGCATATGGATCTATTAGTTTCAATATACTAGAAAACACTGTAGTCCATATGTGGGTCACCTGCAGCCAAAGAATTAATTAACAAAAGAATTTATTTGTGATGTTTTATATTTATAATATATGATTATTTGAATATATTTGTTTTCTTTGAAGAAATAAATATATCATAACAGAAAAACTTGAAATGTCATGAAAAAAGAAAAATTAGATTTCTTAACAATTAAATTATTATTTTAATAACGTCAAACTAACATGGGAGTGCATATAGGAAGGGTGGGCGGATATTTTTTGAATAACTTTTGATAGAAATAAAATATATTATACGTTCTTCTAAAATATTTTTTGAAGTTGTTTTTTAATCAAGTTTATAAAAAAGCTGTCGGAAAAATGGTTTCTTTTAACATATGAAAAAAGCAAAAATATGATTTTTATCACAGTATTGGCTTGAAAAATCGGCCGAGAATTTTGACTCGAATATTTATGATTCCTGAATAAATAAATCCACAAAAATCTGAGGTTTGCGTAGTTTTGTAGATCTTCCATTGGCAGTTCGAATGTACATCTGATAATAGAAGTTCACCATAGTCACCTTACAGGGTATGTTGATGAATTTTCATCTCCTCTTTTTATGAAGATGAAAACTGCAGCTCTATCTCGTTTCTATCAAAAGTTATTAAAAAAATTCCTACTCGTCTTTTGTTTTTGAAATGGACATTAGTAAAATATCAAAAAGCGAAAGATTTGTTATCTGAAAACGACTCACACTGATGCTTGCTGCTTGAGCTCATGTTAGGTTCACAAGGAGGCCTCGGCAAGACTAGAAAAATCCTAAAAAGTTCATGTCCATGGACCTCTGGAGTCGAGTTATGAACATTTTACTGATTTTTCGATTCAGCTTTAGGTATTTCGCTCATAAACAGGTCGAATGACTATAGCCTGAAGGTTTCAGTTAAAAATTTCAGGATATTCTACTAGTCATTCGATTTGTTTATGGGTGGAATTTTAGATCGAAAAATCAGTACAACGTTCATAACTCGACTACAGAGTCCTATGGGTTTATCAAAATATGAGAACTCACTTCTTAGCGAAGAATATTTCAGATTAACTTGAATTTTTTTTGTTTAACAAGACCAACAATTATTCGTTTAGTTAATCTAACCTATGCAAGATTATGTTTCTAATTCATTCGAAATTAATTTTACAATATATAAAAATATTTATTTTGACGAATGATATTTCGTATGAGAATATGAATAGAGACGTACAAAGTTACTCTTCTTCTTAGTCAGGGTATAGGTTACGAAAAGAGCTTAGTCTGCATATCTCTAAATATGAACTATAGGCAAAAATCTATTGATTCATTCTTGCAAATTTTTTTTCGGTATAATAAAAAATCTTTTCATTGTAGAATTCTCCTTAGGAAATTTGTTTTTGAAAAAAATGAAAATTATATTGATCTGTTGTAGTTCCAGTTGATCTTCAAAAAATTAAGTAGTATTACTAATAAAACATCGCCCAATGAACTTAATCAAAAGTTATTTCGAATAAAAATATAATAAAAACAAAACAAAATTTTATTTTCCTTTAGAGCAATTATGAAGCAATGACAAAAACTGTTGAAGAATTAAAAACAATTACAAAACGTATTACATTAGGCGGTGCTGCAGAAGCTCGCGAACGACATACATCAAAAAATAAATTATTAGTAAGAGATCGCATTGATAAATTACTCGATCCAAAGTTTGTTATTTTATTTTTCTTATAAATAAAAATTTTATTTTATTTTCAATTTATCTTCTTATAAAAACAAACAAACAAATAGTACTCCATTTCTTGAATTTTCACAATTAGCTGGTTATTTATTATATGATGATGAAGACGTTCCTGCTGCTGGTCTTATAACTGGTATCGGACAAATTGAAGGGTAAATAAATGACAATGAAATTATATAAATTATTAAAAATCCTTCTTTTAGACGAGAATGTGTAATTGTTGCTAATGATGCAACAGTTAAAGGTGGTACATATTATCCCGTGACAGTCAAAAAACAAGTGCGTGCTCAAGAAATAGCACGAGAAAATCGATTACCTTGTGTTTATCTTGGTAGTATTGATAGGAATACAAAAATTTCATATTAATTTTTATTTTTAGTTGATAGTGGTGGCGCTAATTTACCACGTCAAGCTGATGTATTTCCTGATAAAGAACATTTTGGACGTACTTTTTATAATGAAGCAACAATGAGTGCTTTAGGTATACCACAAGTAAGTAAACTAAAAATCTACAGAAAAGATGTTTGTGTTTTTTTAAAATTTAGATTGCTGTTGTCATGGGTAGTTGTACAGCTGGTGGTGCTTATGGTACGTTAAAATATTAAAAGAAAAACAGCTTTTAAGGGATCTCTTCATTTCCCCGACCCAAAATTTTCAGTTTTTTCATTTTTTTATGTTGGATATATGAGTTTAAATGTTCTCTATCTAATGAGCACATTTTTACAAGGGCAAAACTATCTTTTTTGTATGTAAAAATCTCGGAAAAAAAATTCAATTTTATGCTAAAAAAAGCCAAAAAATGTAAGTTTCTTTGCATTTTTCTTAAAATCAAATTTTCATTCCAAGTTTTTTTTAATAAATACTTTGATCGAATTTGAATGTGTCTTTTTTTTCTCTCTTGATAATATTATTCCTATTAAATTTTTCAGCTTTTTGAAAATTAGCACCATTGAAAAAAGAAACACGTTTTTTGATAGTACCTTCGATATTTTGCCTCTCCACAACTGTAAAAACAATATTCCTCGAAGGAAAAAAAAAGCTCAGAAAGACATAGAATAAATTTTTGCAGAGGAAGGGAAAACTTCTACCTATTTTTGGCACTTAGACATTCTATATCTCCGTGAAGAAAGGATCTGAGATTTTTGAATCTATAACAACTTTTCCTCTACTCATGAAGATCTATCTGCTCAGAAAGTTTCATCGTTTTTCATCGAGCCGCTCTCGAGAAACTTCGGGAAGAGAGGAGGTCCCTTTAAGAACTAAATCTTGACATAAAATATTCATCAGAATCGACCAGAGTCTACCCACACACATCCAAATATATTTTTCTTTCTCCAGATGTTCTTATTACGTGAAGTACAATTCATTCTTTAATATAGTTCCGGCTATGGCTGATCAATCAATAATTGTTCGTCGACAAGGAACTATATTTCTTGCTGGTCCACCATTAGTTAAAGCAGCTACAGGTGAAGTTGTATCAGCGGAAGAGCTCGGTGGTGGTGATCTTCATTGTCGGTTAGTTATTGTTACCTGTTTTTTTTTTACTATATTCTCTAATGTAATAATAAAAACAAAATAGTCAATCGGGTGTGACAGATTATTATGCGATGGATGATGCGCATGCTTTGCATTTAACAAGACGTATTGTTGCAAATCTCAATTATATAAAACCTCAACAAGTTTGTTGATATTTGTAATTCTATTCATGTATCTGTGTGTATTTATTATTATTTTTAAGGTTTTGATGAAACCATCAGTTGAACCGCTTTATCCAGCTGATGAATTATATGGTATAATAGGTGATAATCTCAAACGAGTATATGATGTTCGAGAAGTATGTTAATTTAAAATTGAATTTTTGTTTGTATTTTTTGTTTTTCTATATTTGAGGTCATTGCACGAATTGTTGATGGAAGTGAATTTGATGAATTTAAAAAATTATATGGTGAAACACTTGTCACTGGTAGAGAAAAACAAAAACATTATTGATTAAAAGAATTCATTATCTATTTGATTAGGTTTTGCACATATTCATGGATATCCAGTTGGTATATTAGGTAATAATGGAGTTCTTTTCTCCGAATCAGCTCTTAAAGGTGCACATTTCATTGAATTATGTTCTCAACTTAAAATTCCATTATTATTTCTACAAAATATAACTGGTAAAATCAACTATAAATAGAAGAAATTATTAAATTTTTGTTTTTTTGGAAATCTATTCATAGGTTTTATGGTTGGACGTGATGCTGAAGCTGGTGGCATTGCAAAAAATGGTGCAAAATTAGTTACTGCTGTAGCTTGTACTCAAGTACCAAAAATTACTGTAATCATTGGAGGTTTGTTTTAATATAATAATAATTATTTTCTTTTGAAATATGTTTATTTATTTATAGGAAGTTATGGAGCAGGTAATTATGGTATGGCTGGAAGATCATATAGGTAATATACAGTTTGATATGTTCTTTCGAATAAAAATTAAATCTATATAATCATGGATTACAGGAAATTTCGAGTTGCTTAAAGAGCGATGTTTCATACTTGTTTGTTGAATATCTTTCGAAAACATTATGATGCATGACTAAAAATTTTAATATAACCTTTCCACTAGAGTATCAATAAAATGCATCTGACTTTAGAACGATTTTCGAGAAAGAACTTAAGAAATTTCTGTTTTAGTCCACGATTTTTGTACATGTGGCCTAATGCAAGAATATCAGTGATGGGTGGTGAACAAGCTGCTCAAGTTCTTACACAAATCACTGCTGAACAACGTAAAAGACAAGGCAAAAAAGTATTTTATTCAATATCTTTTGTTTTGATATTAGATTTACTTTTTTTTGTTTTAGTTCACAGCTGAAGAAGAACAATCTATACGTGAACCTATTTTACGTAAATATGATTATGAAGGTTCACCATATTTTTCATCGGCACGTCTTTGGGATGATGGTGTTATTGATCCATTAGATACTCGACTTGTTTTAGCTCTTAGTCTTAGTGCTGCCCTTAATGCACCCATACCCGAAACACGTTTTGGTATATTTCGAATGTAATATGTTTGTTTTCTTTTCTGAAATAAATTTTATATTTAAAAGAAAAGATAGACAATTAAGTACTAAATACGATAATAATGATCATATGAATTGCTTGGATTATAACTGTATTGCTGACTATTATAACTATATGATGGATCATAATCATTACCGTATTGTTCAGCGTATATTTCATCTAATGCATGATTATATACATAACGAACTCTTCGAGCAGCTCTCCAATCAATATACAATGCAGCAACAGCTAGAAGCCATTCGGCCATTACTCGTGACTTAGTATTGTAGGAAAAAATTACGTGTGTTACTATTTGAATACATATTTTGCAGTCTTATTATATATTATTACTTGTTACTCTGACGTCATTGAAGTATGACAATCTATTATAGAAAAATTATATGTGGTTGAAAAATAAATTTATGTATAAACAAGGCTAAACATGACTTGTATAATTTTAATGGATGTTTACAGAAAAAAAGTAATAAATATGGTTATTAAGAAACCTATTTTCTTGTTACAAAAACTGAACAATATTATTTTCGATTGTGATAAATCTACGGAAAGATACCGTTTCAATTGTATAAAATGATACATTTTTTTATCAGTAAAAATCAATAATTTATTTCTATGCTTTCCATTCTTCTACATGATATTTTTTTTTAAATAATATACAACAATTCTATGAGGGATTATTGGTTATATTATTTATTTCTTAGATTTTGTGTTCGATTCTTTTTTGTTAACATCTAATTCAAATAAAAAATCGTTCTTTTAGTTTATTAAAAAAAAACAACATAGTATTCAATGTTGATGAAAGAATAGTCCTATCTTTCAGGTACTTTGCAGTATGGGATGCTGTCTAGTAACAGATTCAATAGCCCAATATTTTTCATATAACTATGACTAGCTGTAGCTCTGAATGAAAGGTCCACCTGGTGTGGATTTATTGCACTTCTAATATACATCACAAGATCAGAAGTATGTCACAATATAGCCAATATGCTATTGGACGGTTGATTCGAGACAAACAACCGTTATTAATTTGTTCGAAGTCATTCCATGAATTGTGGTACTGAAGTTTTCACACAGTACCTCGTGGACACATGTCGAACAACGTAACTACTCAATCATGTTAGCCAATGTTGATTGAAAATTATCTTATTACAAGTTCGCTTTCATATATACGTATACATGTTTGATGATATTAGAGGAGATGAATACAAAAAGAACTTTCTATAGTTTGATTATGTTATTTTTCATAATTTTGTTCAATTTATTGTATTTATGCAAAATCTCAATGATTTCTTAGTTGGATAGAGTATTAATTTCTATATTTTTGATCAAATTTTGCCAGATCTTACAAGTAAAATAAACTAAACTTTGTATAAATACAAAAATGACTCAAATTTTACCAGTAAAATTCAATTTTTTCTTTAATTTGAAATCCATTTTATTTCATATCTTCCGTGTGTTCAAATTTAATATGGATCTCATTCATCTAAAACAGTTTTCATGATTAACAAATTCAGTTTCAATGAAATATGAACGTGCAAAAAGTTCGTTTCTCTGAGTTTATCAAAAATCCATGCTGGATACTACTAACTATATCAAAATAAGCAACACACTAGGTTTTATAAAAATACAGCAAACTGAACATAATTATCAAGTATAATGTAATTAAATTGCATCATTATCTTCAACAGTTTTGTTTTGGCATTACTGCCTGAGATCTATTTTTTTATTATACTGTGCGGCTGTTTCACATACGTTCTCCGTCAATTTGTGGATGGTACACTTCTCAGACTAGTGACATTATCAGAAGACCTCTGAATATTTCCTTTTTTGTTGTTTTTTACAAACAGTTAAACAACGTCATTAAAAATTCTGAAATAAATTTCTCAGATTTTATAAGAGAGGACAATTTTATGTAATTGTTAAATAGACTTCTTTCAAAATCTTTGAGCTTTTTAAAAAGAACTCTGAAGACTTTGTATCGGACATAGATTAATCCTCAATTCTAGATGTTTAAAAATCTTATCTAATAAGTTGGATAAACAAAAAAAGCATCAATTTATATCACGATTTTCTCTTGATGAAATAAATACCGATTCTTTTGGTATCATTGTCTTTTCTATAATTGATCAATACCTAACATCATCAAGAATTTGTTGATATTAAACATTAATATTGCAAAATTTCTGAATAAAATAATTATTCATTGTTTTGTCTCTTAGAAATGAATTAATCATCATGTCAATTATTTGTTGAAAAATTTAAAAATTAAGTGTAGACAACGAAAAAAAAAAACAGATACAAAGAAAGAATAAACATTTTGTTAATAATTCTGCAATGGAAAGCTTAAATTATGAAAAAATTACAATAATCAAACTTTAACGATAATATCATTCAGTTGGATATCTGAACTCAGATTCTAACAATGACAAATTATGAGGTTAAAGAGTATTGTTTGATGATTCTTATCATTTGGATATGTTTTCTTATTATTAATTTATTATTTGATGAAACAGTGCAAACCTTTAGGTACATCACCCCTAGAGAAAAAAGCTAAACATGCAAATTCATTCTTGCGATAGAAGTAATTGGAAACAAGTACACAGTAATATTATCAACTAAGCAAAATAATTAGACATATCTGATGCTTTTATTAAAAATCATCATTTTTGCATGATTCCAAAGGCAATATTGCTCTTTTTTTTTGTGTAGAAAATCTTTCTCTTTATCGATAGATTTAAAAAAAAACAAAAAAAGATTCCCAATAAACGTTTACATGCTCATATAATCATACATTCAATAATAAAATGTAGCAAAAAAAAATAGCTGTTACATATAACAACGACAACAACAGCATGATTTTCTACATGAAATATTTTAATTTCCAGAGAGAATATCCCACGCGCGTCTATTTGTTAGTTGATCGTAGGAAAGTTGAATATAACAAATAATTACATTTACTTGAAGTCATTTTATTTAACTTCATTGTACTCGGAAGAAATCGATGATATAATATCTATCTAAAAAAAAAAGAAATCTTAAATAATCAAGTAGATTTCAAAAAAAAATACACAAAGAACAGTTTTGCATTTAATTTTATCACATCTGTATTTCAATCTAAGGGCATCATAGTGAATCTCTTATTTTTATGAAAGATACTTTATGATAATTTGTTTTTTGTTTTTCGAGAACCTCTGTTTGCAAAGTATTTCTATTTGTATAAAATAAATCTATTTTCTTTTCTCTCTGAAACATGTCTCACGATGAATGAAGAGATACCATAGCAATTTTCAAAAAATGGTATTTTGTTAATTTCGTGCTCTGTAATAAACAAACATTGTCAATCTGAATATATACAAAACAAATAACCCATGAAAAACTTCATCAATCGAATATTCTCAAAAAAAAAAAAGAATTTTTTTTTTTCAAAGAAAAACAAACAGATTACATAGAGAAAGAACATTTAAATATTGACTGTTATTGTTCATATGATTCTCTCAATCGATATAAGAAGATTTCTTTATCTCAAACGTTCCTATTTTATACAATCAATCGAAAATTGATGTACTTTATCATTTTGTTTTTGAGACAACAAAAATAATTTCTAAGTACCATAAAGCTGTCATGTTAAATTAAGACATTTTATAAACAAAGTTTTTACACGAGATTATGTGCTATATTTAGAGAGTAAAATTAGTTCTTTTTAATGTTGCTATACTAAAGATAAGAGAAAAAAAAAATATTAATAATAAAATTAATGTAAAAAAACTCGTATCTCACTCATTAAGTGTCTATTTAAATCTTTAAAAGGCTAGAAGATTGCCATTAAAATAGAATGTCATGAAAAAAAAAACAGAAACAACAATAAAATTTTTTCCGAATGATTGTATTTCAATATTCAAACAAAAAAAAAAGCAAAAGAACTGTTGAAAATATATTGCCCGTAATTTGTAATCAACAGATAATGTGAACACTTGCAATATGACACTATAATCAGGGAAAAAAAAACAATTTCTACTATATAACTATCAAGTATTAATAAATTCAACGTTAATGAAAAGATCTTGGTAAACATTTATATATTGTTTTCTTCATATATGAATATTTATTAATGAAAAAATAGAGATATATAAATCATTTTAAGAGTGTCATAAAACAAAATTCTTCTAAATTGGCTTGAGTGAATCTTAGCTTATAATTATATCACATCAAATAAAAGTATAAGTATTTAGGTCAAGTATCAATAATATTGCATTTTATAGAATAATAATACACGTTGTGAACTTACGGTCTCGCCATGACCCGTGTCACTTCGTCAGTGTCGATAAGTATTATTTATTCAACTGCACAAGCGAAAAAAAGTTTTACTTTCCACAAAATGACATATCTTGTTACTAAACAAATTATTCATCAGGAGAAAACCATACAATCTTATTCTTTTCATTCATAATTAAGTTGTATGTGTGATTTCTTTCTATTGATGTTAGAATCAATCGAACAAATATCTAGTGTAGATGCTAATCTAAATTAATAAAAAGCATACAAATAAAATATTATAGTTAATTAAAAAAGAATGAATTTACAAATTATTTGATAGACTAATACAAGAATTCTTTATTTTTTTTTTTTTGAATTAATCATATACTTGTGAATGATATCTTACACGAATAAAACAAAAATGCTTTCATTTAAATACTATAATAATAAATAATAGTTTTTATGTATTATTCTAAAAATACATTTACTACATAATTGACTGTTACAAGAAAAAATAAAACAAACAAAATATGTTAGACATTTTTCTTAAATAAAGAACATTATTTATGATTAGTCTTAAGTAATATTTTCTGTTTCTCTACCTTTTTGTTAATTAGAATGGTCGTTTTGGTCTGTTTTTAAAAATAGATTTCTCATTCTTAAATAACCCAGTGTTACAATTTTCTTGCCGTGATTTCGCCTACTTATTAACCATTTTGGATAATATATAATGACGGATATTAATAGTAATTTATGACAACACGCCTATTGAATCAACACGCACTTAACAATCATTGCATGCATTATACTATGAAATAATAATTCTTTCTAAAAGTTAAATGCGAATATATTCGCATATAGAATAAATTTATTTTCTTGAGTATATTGAAGAAAAAACAAAACATGTTCGAATCTTTGACACAAAATTTACATTAAATTTTTGACAAACTGTTCATACGAAATTGCTATTTATTATAAAAGTAATTAAATTGTGGAAGAAAAAAAGAAGACCGGAATATAAATATCTCGTTTTTTTTTTCATTCTTTTTCTATTAAATGTTGATGACGACAAAGTTTTCTCGTTCGATTCGCACACTATTATGATATACGCTTCATCCGTAAATGAACATTCATAAAAAAAACGGCCTGAAGTGCTCTTCTTGTCTTTTTTTTTTTATTCTCTGAGTTTTGCATGATCTATATATATACATCTATGCTTAAGTTTCTCATAGCTTTTTGTCAACTGCGTGCATTTTTAGAAGAGGCGTCAAATAATGAACAGAATATTGATGTTGAACTCTCGCTTTACCTTCTTCCTGTCATATGACTAGTTGAATTAAAAATCGTATTGTGTTGCGTAGTTGATATTTTATACTAACACTCCATTTTCTTTTCCTCTTTTAATATAAATACATTTGAATAAGAAGAATCATTACACTATTTGCATTTTTATTCTATCATAGATAATCAATGACAATGAATATAACACATGATTCAAGTCGTGATCTTCGACGTACTCGATTAATTCTTCTTTCTACACTTTTTTTTGTTGGTTTAACTGGTTGTTCATTAGTTTTAATATGGCTAATACGTTATACTCGATGGAATACACGATCATCTCGTATATGTTCACTTATTCTTAATTTAATTATTGCCAATTTATCTGTTTATATATTTGCTACTGGTATACAAATATTTTGGGAATTTCAAAATAATCGACAATGGCCATTTAATGATCTACTTTGTATGTTATAGAATATAAATCTATAGAGAATTTGAAAAAATATAAACTAATTTTTTTGTTGCTCTAGGTCGAATTGTAAAATTTTTTCAAAGTTTTTCAATTCTTTCATCAACATATATTGTTGTTGCAATGGCCATTGATCGTTGTATTGCTATTGTTACTCCACTAAAAGCCGGAAATATTCGTGTAGGTTTTATTAAATAAATCAAATAAAGAATATTAAGTTCATTTATTTTCATAGGTACTCTATTTATGCGGTAGTGCATGGATTCTAGCAGGTCTATTATCAACACCGAATATATTTATATTTCACGTACATATTAAGGATAGTCTTCGTTATTGTACAGCAAGTTTTAGTCATCATTCATCTCCTACAGGACGTCGTATTTATTTAACATTTATTACACTTGTTGTATATTTCATACCATTTCTTGTTCTTGTTCTTTCTTATACACTTATTTTTATCAAATTATTATGTCGTGAACATGATCAACGAGATTGGTTTATTAATAGTTCATCACCAACATCATCATCATCATCATCATCATCTTTTTGTTGTTGTTGTTGTTGTTCAAAGTTATTTAATAATACAAAAATAACATTTTTAAAAAGATCAAATTATAAAAAATATTTGAATTCACCATCAAATTATTCATTATGTAATGATATTCATATACAACAAAAACGAATAAATACATATGCAAAAGCTCGATCAAAAACATTTCGTATGGTAAGTTTAGAAAAAAAAAAATTTTTTTTTTTTAAATTTTTGTCTTTTCGTCTAGATTATTGTACTTGTTTTATTTATGATTTTATTTGGTGCACCATACTATTGTTTAGAATTATACATTGCTTATACTGGTCGTAAACCATCGGATTCAGTATTAGCTTTAGCTGGTGGTGCAGCTGTAGCGCCATCATCGATAGATCCATGGATATTTCTCTTATTTTGGGTTAATTGGAGTGAACCGACCAATGGTGGTACTCGACGACGATTAGTTAATCCAAATTTAAAACAACAACAACAACAACAACAACAACAATACATGCACCTGAGACGAGTCAATCGATTAAACACATCAGGTTCATCATCAGCAAGTGATCCACATCAACATCATATTCTTACATACAATTCACCACGTCAATCACCTTACACTACTAAGTGGGATACATACGTGTAACAACTAGAACCATTATGACATTTACAGATATATAAGTTATCTTCTATTATAATCAATTAAATGTATATATGTATGTTTTAAACTATATTTTCAAAGAAAAAGTAGAACATGTAGGATGTTTCAAAAGTCATGATCACTGAAAAAATATATATAACATCAGTACTAATCAAGTTTAATCAAAATCTTTTTTCTATTTGGAATAGACGATTAGTAAGTTTTCATTGGTAAAGATTAAGCTTGTCAATAATGTGGCAAAAATAACATTTTCGACTGTAATTAAAAAATTAGATCTTTTTCGATGCTACGAAAAATATACATCGTTTTTTTTTTGGATATCTATCGAAATTTCTATTAGTATTATGGACTTCAGATCATGTAGATTTTTGATTATTATGTTTTAATGATTTGTTTGATATATTTTAAAACGATCGAATTATTGGTGCATTTCTTCACAGAAAATTGTTCGTGGCTCTTCAAAAACTTAAATAATATTAGAAATGCATGTGTTAGACCATTTCAAGGGGTGATTCACGAAAGTTTTGAAATAAAATATTTGTTTCCCATATAATGAAAAATGTAGAAAAACCGTCGGTTTACCGCGGTTTTCACCGATCCGCTTACCGTGGTAAATCAGGGGTTCTTTCCGGTAACCCACGGTTAACCAATGCTTCTATGTAGTTAACCGGCACTATTTGATTCTCTATTTCGTTAATATTTGTAGTTAAATTTAATAGCTATTTTTCAATTAACCTAATTTTTATTTCAACCAAAAATAAAAATACAAACCGATGCAAAAAAAAACTTACACAAAAAAAAATAATCTTAAAACATAGATATAAAAGAATTAATCTAAAATAAAATATTAAAAACTTCAATATAAGAAAATATTAATTTTCAATTGAACCTCGTTATCGTTATATTGATTCTTTTCTCTAAACAAGCAAGCACACAAAATAAGTGATGCGACAAACACGCACATGCACATACACGTATTTTTTCCGTTCTACAGTCGTTGGCTTCCTATAGTTCACCGGAAAAATTACCGGTGAAACGCAGTTACCCGATGAAATTTATAACGAATCGTAGTATCAATTAAAACCGACGGTTTACTGCTAAAAGTGATTCGATTTTTGTGACATGAGTTAGTTTTGGTTCTCTTGAAAGAATTTCCAAGAAATCAAAAGCTATGGGTTAGGAATAGTGTTCGGCGTTACCAAGATTTTTGGTCACGGTCATTCTCTCTAGTTTATCACAAGTCGTGATCTCTTTTCTTGAACGATGTTTATTGGGACGAAACTTCGATAGAGATAAAAAAAACAAATAAAAATGACACGATTATTAGCTAAGCAGAAGAAAAGTTTGTTCTTAATTAATTTGATTCGGTTTAATCGAATAGTAACGTATAGATGTATTTTTCGTTTAGCTATATTTGTAATAGAATATGTACTTTTATTATGTTTTGTGCTTGTTGTGATGTTTTTATCGCAGTAGAAAATAGAATTCAAGAAAATTAAAAATTTTCCTGAGTTCTAGTTTCTCCTGTAACAGTTATGTCTGGTTGTTTTGATTCAAAAAAAACGATTAAATTATTGCAATGAGATAAGAATATGAAATTATTTATGTTGTGAAACAATTAATCCAGTTAACACAGACATAGAACATGTGATTATTGTAGTATTCGTGACTGTTCGTGATCAAGTTTCAGTCACTGTCACTGTCATGGCTGTGATCGTGTAACCATGATCCATTACGATCACTAGTTAGGCTCAGTATATTGTATACTTTCCAAATACGGTCTTAGAAATTTTATCTCAAATTTTGTTCGAGAGTAATGAGGTAATCATTGAAAGACCTAAAAAAATGAGTTTGAATGGAAAGTGTGAGTCGAAGTTACTGATGCAAATGGTTGTCATTTTGATCTGCTTGAGAGTATCTCAGACAAGTCAACAACTATGCATGATGATTATAGTTTTGCACTCGGTATTAGAAATATTGTATCTATTTTTATTGGAGACTAGTGGAAGAGTTTTTTTTCGAAAGTTTAAACAATTAGATTGAATGCTGAACCAATTGACTTGGTAATCGCTGTAAGTTTTTGTTTTCGAACGTGCCAAAAAATATTCGAGTCAATTGTTTTGTCAAATAGACATTTCTTTGCAAACGAACTAAGCTTTAGGATTTACCTAAGTGAAACTATAGGCATTTTGCCCAGAGTTCCCTTCTATGCAAAACACCTTTTGATCAAAAGTTGATCTTCCACAAATAACGGATTTAAGAGAAACAAAGATTTAAGTGATCTGTAGGAAAACTTTCGACTTGCAATACTGAAAGTACTCGAGTGTATGGAAAAATTTTCCGTGATCCTTTCAAAAATTCATCTCATTGTTCTCCAGAAAAATGTTTAATCCTACATTCAAAAAGAGCACAACATTCTGGTCATAGTCCATGGACTTTGATTGTTCAGCAACATTTGCAAGGCAGTCAAAAATCAACAAATATTTTGTTGCAAAACTTTTGGTTCATCCATTATAACTCATTTTGATATGGCAACTTACTCTCTTTATTCCTATTGGTAACAATATATCAAAATAAATGTTTATAAAGTTACGATAAAAGATTAAAGTAATCTGAAGCCTATAATGTCAATAGAAATTTCAGTAGATATAAAAAAACCGATGCATATTCTTTGTAGAATTGAAAAAGATCTAACTTTTGAATTGTAGCTTAAAATATTACCTTTTCTAGACTGCTGATGAATTTGATCTTTACGAATAAAACCATAATAGTCTTCTATTTCAAAAAGAAAAAAGCAAAAATTTGGATTATGCTTAATTAGTAGGGATGTTATATATATATATATATTTATTTATTTAGTGATCATGACTTTGGGCATTCAACCGGTATAGATAGTCCTATGAATGAAAGACAAATACAATACTACGATAACAAAAGTTAATGAATCGAACGAAACTGGAAACATTTTATTTGACCAGTTTTCCTTTGATAGCATCTTTAATAAAAAACACCGGAACAGGCATAACACTATGTTCATATTGAACTTGTGAATAGACATTTTTCATAGCATCAAAATAATTTGTAATTGGTTTAAATTGACAACCATCATTAATGATTTTCCATAATGGTTCAATTATTTTTTGAAATCTATAAGTAAATGGCTTAGTTTTAGAATTAGCAACCACATGTTCGAAAAAAATAAAATTTCTATCTGGTTTTAATATTCGATGTGCTTCAAGAAGAATTTTTTCTGGTAATGGATCTGGTACACTACATAATACAAATGTCATTATAATTGTATCAATACTATTCGATTCAATTTCATGCATATCTGTTGCTGAATTACTTAAAAGACGAATCTCATATGGAATGTTCCATTGTTTAATAAGATTGTAAAAATATTGATGCATATTAACATTAGGTTCAATTCCTGTGTATGATTTAATATTTGTATTATTATGTAAACATGGAAAATTTATTCCTGTACCAGTACCAATTTCTAATACATGACCTTTTACATTTGAATGTTGTAATAATTGATTACATCGTAAATCCATCATAGCAGAATCATTAGGATCAGACACTTTGTTTAAAATACTAGCAAAAACTAAAAACAGAAAATAATAATATGAAAATATATTTCGAAAAATAAATAATCAAATATTTTAATATACTTTTTTGTCGATAAACATTATCAAGTTTTGAATACCCAATACCGATCGCAATCAATGCTACTATAAAAGATAAAATTCCAAAAAGAAATCTTAGAATAAGTCCCATATCTATAAAAGAAGAAAAGTAGTTTCGTAAATTTACAGGATAATTTTGTCGCATACACTATCGCAATATATGCATGTAGAAGAATAAGAACAATATAATAGTATAGATATTCTATTTATCCATACAACAACATTCAAGGTCATAGTTTTATTTTTTAATCCATATCTTATATAAAATTACTAATCCGGTAATTAAATATCTGGTAATCTATAAATAAATGTCTTCAAATCATTTGTACCAATAATAAGAATTGCTTAGTGTTCGTTCTACTACTATACTTTGTAAAGAGAATGTTTTTTGTAAGTATGAAAGTATATAAATATGATGACTCATTTTAAAATGTGTAATCTAAATGCGATAAGAATCAATGTCTGTGATGCCGAGTTAGGGGGAATCCATCGAGATTATGGAAACTATGTGAAATGAATCGAGATCACAGAAGAGTCATAATGACGAATCCAATTGGCTTCAGCAACTTCGGGTAAAACATGGAACTTCTATACTTTACTAACACTACTCGAAAAAATCAAGACATATGAAATGTATAGAGAAGACGGTTCGTCCGCTTACACAAGACACTTTGACATAATTCTGATTGGTTGATTTATCGTTACTTTAGACGCTTCCAGCGTCAACGGATGACCGATTTCAAACACTCAAGCGTCTTACTCGCTTCTGGTTCGATGATCTATATCAATGAGAGAAGCGTCTTACATCTATCTTCCTTAGATGCTTCAGCTAATCTACGAGCTACCAATCCTAGAAATGATTGTATTTCGATGTGAATAATGTATATTAAGAAAATATTTTGGATAAAATAATTTTATATTTTTTCTCATCAATTTTATTTTATTTTTTGAACTTAATTTAACATCGTATGAAAAAGTATTTTAAAAATTTTTAAGTTCGCTTTAAAAAAAAATATTAAGTTAAATTTGAAAAAAATTATCAAAAATATTTTTTTAAAATAAGTACTATTCGTATCGAAATACAATCTTTTCTAGAATTAGTAGCTCGTAGATCAGATGAAATATCGAAATTGTTTAAAAGTTAGCGGCGCATAAGTTTTCATGATATTAATATATAATCTAGAAAAAAATAAATAAATATAACATATTAAGACAGAGCAAAAAAATGAAACAAAATAAGCAAAATATATATTTCTTTTTTATTTTCAGAAACTGCAAAATTTTTCAAAATTAACTCGACAAAAAAAAGGAATACTTAAAATTTCTAAAAGATTTACTTAATAACTTGCAATAATTTTCTTTAAATATATTAAGTTTTAATTATATCATTAACTTCTCAATCATTACATGTTGAACAAACGGCTTGTGATGAATAATAATAAGATTAAGTTTTTAACAAAGATATTAAATCACTTGCCCTCAAAATACGTTGTGATCATTAACATCCAGATCAAAAATTCTAATTTTGTATCAAATTGATCTCATTTATCTAATATATAAAAATACACAACAACGAATCAAAGATAAAATAATACTCATACGTTGTTGTTGTTCGTAGAAATATTATAAAAAAACACGATTAAAAATAGTCATCTTCTATTTATTTTATCTTAGATTTCAATAATGTTTGAAAATACTACAGCAGTTGTAAGATACGAACACCACTAAGATTGAACGATACAAAATGAAAAAGAAGTTTTTGGTAAAAAAAAAAACAAATTAGAGAACAAGTCTTTCTTAATTCTTCTTGATAATTTCATATGTTAATTATAAGATCAGCAAGCACCAATTGTGACAATAGTCAACATCTAAGTACATGCATTCATAAATAATATTGCTTGTTATACTAAATTCATTTTTAAATGAAAATTCTAATCGTAAATGCAAAGAAATAAATCCTAAGACAACAGTCCACAATAAAACAATATAATTTGAAAGTAGTAAATTTTAAAACTTACTTATTTTATTTGTTAGAAATATCTTAAAACAAAATCAGAAATAGACGACGGTACATAAAAACCATCTATAAAAAATTAACAAACTTGAACATAAAATAAAACTTGCTATTCGATCAAGTAAAGTCAGAGGGTCTAAAAAAAATAAAACACTTCAGTATCTATCATATCCAAGTCTCTAAAAAATAAGATGCTGCTCGTGTCTAACTAATGTCTAAACTAGACTTTAGACGGATGGCAGTTTTTAGAGTGCGTAGACAATGTGTAAAAATAAATTTCTGAAAACCATTACCTGATTCGAAAGAAAAGACTAGTTGCCATTTTTCCTAAACTTTTGATAGGAAGTAGATAAGGTTCTGCGGTTTTCACCATTTAAGAGAAAAGACTTGGGGCCATTGAAGTATAACGAAACTTCATTGACCCGCAACTGATCAGTCATGTGACATCTTGATGGTGATTTTTGAGAATGATATTCTGAAACTACTTTTCTTTCAATTTACACTTACAATAGCACCGATCGATAGGAAAAATTCTTCCCCTCTTGTGATCTACACACGGCCGACATTTGTAGTTCGTTTCGTTTGAGAGTTGTAAGATTTTTCTTGAGTTACAACACACGATCTTTCATTGTAAGTGAAACTATAGGCACTTTGCCCAGAGCTCTTTTCTATGCACGACACCTATTAATCAAAAAGTTGATTTCTCAAAATTGAGGACTTCACAGAAAGAAATGCTGATATGACTTGTAGAAAAGCTTCAGTAGTGCATATTGTCGGGTAGCTTCTGCTCTTCAAGTTGAGATATTAATAAAAGTGTCAATATTTATTTTCCAGTTCCAATAATGAAAGTGCAAAAGTGTAGGGAGAAATTTTCTGTGAGCCTTCCAAAAAAAAATAATCTCATTTGTCTCACAAAAATTTTTTAAGCCTACACTCACAAAGAGCACAAAATTCTAGTCATAATCCATAGTTTTTGATTGTTCAGAAACACTTCCAAAGCAGTCAACAATAAACAAACATTTCGTTTCAGGATTTTGTTCATTTTGAAAACAAAAAAAGTACAACTATAAAATAAATGGTCTTATGGAAATTGAAGAGCTTTTCAAGCTACATCTTCTGATATATTTTATTTTTTTGATACAATCTATTAATTGATTGAAAACTGAAATGCAAAAAATCTAATGCGTGGCCATTTAATCTTCCTCATATATTAATGAAGTTGTACACAAGAACAGTTCTTTTCGAAATTTTATTGTCATGATATTAGTTGAAGAGTGATCAAATAGCACAAAAATATAGACCATCATTTTCTCTATCACGATATAAAAAAAGAAAATTTATTTAAGCTTTCTATTAAGAAAATAAGATAATGACGTCATTACTTTTGGTATGTCCTAAGTAGATGACACGGATCATTTTTGGGCTATTTTACATGCTGTTTTTTTCATCCTTCTTTTTTCGGTTATGCACTCACTTTTTAAAAGCCTAAGATAAGCTTTATATATTTTTGTAGAATGTCAAAAGACACATCATTTTATTAAAAACTATTGAATGTCAAGTACTAGCAACGTTCCAAAAAGCCAATGGCAATGTTCTTCACTGAATATCTTTGTGTTTGTATTCTTATGAAAATGTACTGAATGAGTTTTTTGTTATTAAAGGATCGATTATTTTCAAAAAAGTTTAAGTTATTCAATAGAAATTCTAGAGTGCCTTTGGAAATACAATCAAAGTGGCATCTTCTCACATCGTTTTTTTGTTGATAATATTGGAAAAAAAAGGAAAAAAACTCTTAGATCCAAATATTGCTTCTAGTACCATTTTTGACTTATAGTCCAGAAATCTTTATTGAGCTCGATGTTTTACTTGTAAACTGGTATGAAACAAAATAATTCTGGATAGACTCAGTATATCTGACATATTTTCTGTAGTAAATTCTTTGAGTATTTGTTATCATAATGCGAATATTATGATTATCACTAATTATTAAATGAGTTTGTATCGATATTCTGCAATTGATATAGATTTTTGATCGTTGTCGCAACACATTTTGACTTTGTGTTCGGCAGATATAATATAAATTTTTCGAATCACTTGATATTGACAGCCTATGGCTAGTTATTGATCACATTATTATTGTATGTTTCTTTTCTTTTCTGATTGGATCAGGATATCGATAGATGATTTACAAAATTATAAGAAGAGTCTATACTTCATTATCTACAATACTCGATATGAATCCTCCAAACTTTGGTCAAACGTAAAAATGTCGAAAACTGAACTGAAAACTTCTGAATATATTCTTGTGCAGAAGATTAAAAAAATCAAGTAGCTAAATTCGCATAAAATATTTGTTATATTGAAAAAAGAAAAATGAACGACAAGCAAGATTCTTTGAAACGTTAGTTTATCAATCTTAAATAGTGTTCTTTTTGTACAATCATAACTTTTTTTGGTGCGTACTTATTTGACTTTTTAATGCTGTTTTTCATGTTTTTCTGCTTCGATGCGAATATCAATGTGGATTTATATGAAGAATACACCGACATCCACAAACATTATCCTCACAATCACTCATTTTTAGTCGCCGACATCCACCTTCACTCACATTTATCTACATCCACTCATACCCCACCCGCATCCCAACAACTGTCCAAGAGTGTTCTAGCGCATGACGAAAAACCAAATTCGATCGGTATCATCATTCTAGAATTATTCAGAAAATAGTGGAAGATGTTTTTAAAAACAGATCGACCACTAGTATCTGGCAAAAAAGTTTCATAGCTACCAAACATAGCGTGACTGAGATACAGGGAAAATAACGAGGGATCATTTTAAGATCTTTTAACTTCCAGAGGTGCAGAATATCTGCCGTAAAAATCAAAAATTTCCCCAAACCCCTACAATTATGTCGAAAAATTTTCCCAGCTAGAAAAAAAAAAGTAAGGCCTTCGTGTATGGAATATGTATCTATAAAGAAAGAGCATTGAAATAGAGCTAGTTAAGACAAATAGCCTGATATAAAAAATAATCCGTTGTATTGATCATAAAGTGACTCTGGTAATCTTGGTACTTGT